CTTCCTTCCCAGCGTGGGAACTGAGTTAACTGAATACAATTGTCAGAGTGTGTGTGTGTGTGTGTCTGTGACCGTGCACCTAACCCAATCACTCGTCATCGCTACAGGAAGTACAATGGGCGAACTTTTATCGAACTTTCGGTATATCGAATTGAAGCCAGTAACATGGATGATGCTGATGGGGCCTGGTTGCAGGGCTTTCTCAACTATTGTGATCGTCTTTTGCCGACTCTTCCAAGTCATGGGGCATGCCCTAGGCCAAGTGACTATACACCCAGGTTTTTGGTGTAGCGCCTCTGATCAAATGGACTTTTCTCCAACTTGGCAGGCCCAATTTCGGTGGTGTTCGCTGGGAAAATGAGTCAGTGGGATCAGACAAATTGAAACAAAAACCACCACCCAGAAAAACACATGAAACCTGTACCTGGGTGGGATAAATGGACACAAAATACAACACACATTATCTGAAACTAAAAAACCACCACCCAGAAATGTATGGAGACTGTGACTAAGTGTGTTGTGTGTGTGGTGATCCTTTTGTGATCGAGGCAACCGCCCCCACAACGCTTGCAACATGATGTAGCAGAAGGGCTCACACAGACCACACATGTCCCAAAACATTCCAGAACTGTAGCTTTTCCCCAAGGGGACAAACAACAGAAGAACAGGTGAGACACGACGGGTCACAGCCAGGACAAGTCCGGCGCTGAGTGTATCAGCTCGAGGTGGTTGCACACATTTCACGACATACCCTAGGGATCCACATACCTTCTCAGAAGGTACTTGGATCCCTACGGATATACATGTAGCAAAGGATAAGAACACAGAACCTTGAGACCCATGAATGCTACATCGGCCGACCTCGCGCCGAATCTGTGCATGGGCGCAACGTGGACCCCCGGCCAAAACTCTTACCTCCGGTGCTGGGTTCACACTGAGCTGACCTGTGTGGTTGCAGTCTTCATTGAGGCTACTCACAAAGGAGATTTCCGGAGCTAGGTTGAAACATGTTCCAGGTCTCTTTGGCTTTTGGATGCTTTTGTGGCTCGCCAAGCAAGCTGAGTAAGTGGATCAAAGCCAAAGGTCCCCCCTTAATAGCGAGACTTCGCAGTCCTCGGCAGGTCACTGAAAACATGGAAAATCTCCCGACTCGGGGGACCTGTAAAGGAAATCACATGAGTCGTACAAACACCTTCCGGTTCGGTGTCACCAATGGGTTCTCCGGAAAACCACTGATCCCCCACACGAGATCTGTGGATCTCGGACACCCCTTCAAAAAGCTCCTGGTTCTCGGCACCGTCATGCCATTGTCCTTTGCCCTTCCCTCATTCCCTACGAGTTGCACCAGTCAAACATGAAAACAAATGACGGATCGGATCCCCAGTTCATTCGCTCAGGAGTTCCAAAAGGCCGTCACATCAATTGTTTCCGATGCCGCACCATCGTGTCTTCACAACCATCGTGAGAGAGACTGGCGTAATCCAAGAACACCAAACATTAAGCATCCCACCATCAGTAGCGAATAGTAGTTCCACTCCGGTTGGCTCTTGGCACCCAAAAAGTTCGGTTGGATTTCCCAACCCTTTAACCCACCAGCTTAGTTCCCAAGCGGCCTCCCCCCGGCCACTGATGGTGAACCTGGAAGCACGTCGTCAAACCACGGCGAAGCGCCCGGCGGAGCGACGTTGACTCGCGAGGCCAATGGGACTGGCCTCATGGGGGACCAACGACTTGACGAACGGGGGCCAAAACCCCGTGGATGGCATGGCCAACGAACGGGCCCCATGCAGAAGGCAAAAGTAGAAACCAAAAGCTTTCCACTTCCATGTGATGTGTTTGTATGTTACATCGGCCCCTTTTCAACCACCCCAACTGATTGGTAACTATGCCAGTGCCATGGATTGTCTGGGTGATCATGCGGCTCTACTCCTCTAAAATGATTCAAGAAACCTGACCTGCCGCATGGCATTTCCCCTGAACGAAACAGAAGTCTGAAGTCCGACTACCAAGCACATGCTGCGTTGAAGAAACATGTGCGCGATATTCCCTTCCCCAGGTGAGTGGTTCCCTTCCCCACCAACAATAGCCCATGTAGACGGGGATCTCAAGATGAAGGTCGGTCGATGTTGGTCAGGGGAGATCACTGCGTTTGACTCACCAGGAGTGATTCCCCATGGTCAGAAGAATCCACGCTTTGCCGACGATCGGCCCCACCTTAGACTGGGTGGGTCCCCTCCCAAACCGCTTAGTGTATGCGGAGCTTTGCGATAGCATGGACCTGCTCATTGGAACACTCAGGACGTCAACCCGTCACGGCCCGGGATTCGGGGCGCCGGGCCGGTGATTCAGGATCGCCGAGAGCTGGTTCTTGATGGCCTGGCCATTGGCCCATGCTCCGCTGTGTGGTGGAGGAATTCAAGACAAGAACTGAATCAGGCCCCCGCAATCGGTTGCTGCCGGTGCCCGTGCCCGTGCCAATAGAGTCATTCATGCCGTTCTGTGGCCCAGCTTGGTTCTCTCGTCCCATGTCCGCCCGGTCCCCGCCTGTGAGACCTTCCGGTTGCCGGAGCCGGTGTTCACCTCAGAAACCAAGCAGATCCCCACATGGGGGGGATGGGTGTGTCCCATCTGGATCTCATCCAAAACAGGGCGGCCCCCCAGGCCCAAATACAAAAGCATTAGAAAAGACATCCACAACTGCCAATCACACATAAAGAAGAGCACTACCGTGACGTACTACCGTGTATATGCAGAAAAATACACATTATACTACACACTATATATTAATATATCCTGGTCACCAGTGGCTTGTCCGCTTATCTTCAACTCCGGCACACCAACCTGCAGTATATGATTAAGGGGATGCTGATGACTTGTGGAATGGATTCTGGATGATTCTGAGATTGGAATGCCCCACCCACAACACTGGCGCCTGGGCCTTTTTTCATGTAAGGCTAGCTGCGCAGTGCCTCACACTGCTAGCTCGAGACCATCTTATCTTTACAAACTCTTCGGCTGTGCGAGCACTTCTGAAAGGCAAAATGCTTGGACCCGTGTCCTCCTAGATTTCAGTCAATGAGGACTCAGCCTTCAGTGACCAAGATTCCCAGTTTCCACGGGGAATGCGTTTCACTGCGCCCTATTCAACGGTTTCCGTCTCGTCTCGCTGTGCTGGTGGGGCAAGCTGCAGACCCCCCCCAAAATGCCATGAGTGAAGGACCAAATCTCTGGCAAGTGAGGGGCTTCTTGGAAGTTCGTCGGTCAGGAGAGTACGCCCGCCCCCGAACCCTCCGTTTCCTCTTTTCGAACCCACCAGGGGGACGGATGGCATCCGTCCCCAAACCATTGATGGACGCTCCTCACCGGTCAGGGCGTTGGACCCGGATTGGCGACCTCCATCCAAGCCGCAAAGGCCATGATGTAGGGCGGTCGCTCGCCATGGATCTGGACATGACCACCGTGCGCGTTCTTTTTTTTCACTTGTGGATGTTCTACACTGAGGAAGGTGAGAAGTTACGGATCAGAACTGAAACCCTTTGACTGTGATTTAGGAGGATCATACCAACGTCAACGTGAGAAGTTACGGATTCGGATTCCGATGACTTTGACTATCATTTAACATTTAGGAGGATCATACCAACCTCACCTCTTTCCATCGCCTTCTTCGGGGCCCACTGTGAATTGATAGGCAACAAAGCGAGCTACCCTCGCTGAATGTTCCCATCCAGCCGCCAGCCTTTTGGAGTGAGGAATATACTGTCTGACACAGGAACGACCAACTTGGATTTGTATAGTCAATAAATAGAATAAAAGGTCGTCTGTGTGCAGTCCAGACCTGCTAGAAGCAAAGATGGAAATAGATTAAAGCCCTCTTCACGGTCGCAGCGCGAGGAACATCGTCTCCCTCAAAAGTGTGGCAGGTTTGTTGACACGTCAGCCAGCGTCTACCAGTTGAGAATCCTGTTAACCCAAACACTCCATGGGACTGGCCTATTTACCTACATTGGGGTGGTTGACCCGGGGTCAATGTAGGTAAATATGGCAGTCCCATGGAGTGTCTGGGAGTTGAGAATCCTGTTAAGGAGTTCTTCTTCCAGTCCCTGCGGATCCAGTCGTACCGAACCTCAGGTACAGATCCAGTGTGAGGTCTCCACGGTACGTCCTGAGACGGTGCCAAGTCACCTCGAGTCCGTACCGAACCTCAGGACGTACCGTGGATCGCCGGTCCATACGCCATGCGACACCTGGACAGCCGAAAACGACCTCCCGCCCCTCCCGCAGCGGATTCCACCATCCAACATGGGTGACACCTGTGAACCGGTCGACGGTGAATCCGTTGCTGCATGGACTGCCCAAATGCGCAGCCAGCGACGCAGCGGCACGTCCAAGCGAGACACATCGGCCAGCTCTGCGCCTCGTGCCAGCGATCCAGGAGTTGACATACCTTGGATCGATGCATGGAGTGAGCATGTGACGGTGAGACCGAGCATGGAATTCTGAACCGTTCTGAACCTCTCCGCAATTACCAGTATCTCCAATTCCATGGGGGTTCACCACAACATGTAGCACGCACCCGCCAATGTCGGCAGGATGTCCAGTTGCCATCCCATTTCAGAATTGCTCGGATGGATGTGAGTGACCCAGCTGTTAGTGTCCATGCTCACATGACTTGATTGCTCACCATCTGCAACTTGAATGATATAATATTTGGGTAGTTTCTCCATCCTGGCTACCTGTGATACTAACATGGCTTGCTGAAGTTTTGTCACCAGGGCAGCTCTCAAGTCGGATCCTTAGCGGAGCATATCCAAGAATCAAAACAGTCCGTCAAAATTATTGACACATCCCTACCCTTTTTGACCAAACATCATAATGAGAGACTTATTGTGCACACAACAGGACTCAGGAGGTGCATGTGCTTGTGTCAACGGGATTATAAGTAGTGGACCACCTGAATAATTGAGGCTGAAAAACGACGCTCTACAAATCACCACAGTTCATTGTCTGGATGCCCAGGCAAGTCATATTATCTGACCTTGGGCCCTTGATCAGTAGGTGTCAAATGATCGTCTGGCCTGCTATATTGGTCCCTTGCGTATCTGTGGTGACGCAGAGTTGCAAGTCAGATTTAGCAACGTGTTGTGCAAATGCCCGTCCCAATGATCCCGAAACACAGCACAGGTAACAAAACATATATTAATATTAACCAACCCAGACACTCCATGTATGGCATATTTACCTACATTGGGGTGGTTTGGGGGGTCAATGTAGGCATATATGGCATACATGGAGTGTCTGGGTATATTATTAACCAATGTTACATATACGAGTCGAGTTGGCCTTCGAGATCCTTCGAGTGTCCACCCGAAGTCGGAACTTCCGTTGAAAACCACGGGCGAAATCGCCGCAAAAACGTGGTTGGGCTGCACACGTCCCAAGTGAACGCCTCCAAACGGAAGCTCCGGTGATGTTCTCAGTTCCCAGGAGCTGCGAATTGATCCGGAACCGAACTTTCCCGAGGAACCTGCCCATGAAAGAACCTCGGTTCACTTGCCTGACTTGTGCTTAGTATGGAATGAGGGAATCGATCCAAATAAATGTCCACTGGGGGCTCATTCCCTCATTCCCTACTAAGCACCAGTCAGTTGCTGTTTCGATGTATGCGCGAGTTGATGAGTGGAGAATCATCTCATGTTTCTCAGATCCAGTGCGGTCCAAAGGGCAGGTTGGATCTCGGCCACTTTGGCTTGCTTCAGGTTCCAGAACCTGCGCGGAGACTGGGACCGCTGACGGATGCCCAACTGCCGGAAGTCGGACGTCGACGAGACCCAATTCGGCCAAAGAAACGAAGTATGCCCAGACACTCCATGTATGCCATATATGCCTACATTGGGGTGGTTGACCCGGGGTCAATGTAGGAATATATGGCAGTCCCATGGAGTGTCTGGGATGTGCTCAATGGCCACAGGGGGAAATGTCTGACTGCCTGAGGCCTGGCGCAGGGGCGCCCACCAAGCTGGCGGGGCTTCCCGAGAGCTTTCGTCCCCGGTTTGCGGGGACCGCAGATGGGAGAAAAAAGAGAAACATCACCATCATCACCTGAATTCAGCAACACCAGGTGGCCGCAGTTGCCGGTGCGAATGTTTCACCTGTGCCGCAGGCTGCTAGTCATCGTCATCGTGCTGACCAAGGTCACACTAGCCCGGTAGAAAAGGACCCTTCTGTGCTCTGAGCTCCGTAACCTGCCGGGGTCACAGTGGGAGGCTTTAGGCGAGCTGGAAAAAGGTACATCTTCCAGTTTAAACCAAATATACACTGTCAAGCTTTAGAATCTTTATAGAACCTCATCCACTCAGAAATCTTCCCAAACCGTCCCCAGCCTGAACAATGTCAAACACGGGCTTTCCAGGAGCAAACGTGAACAAACCCATCCAAACAATTCGATGAATCATGACTTCATCCATGAACACAGCAACATGAACCATACATTGCATCCTGGTCTTGGTATGTCGACATGCGATGCCACCCCCACCCCAGGTTCTCTCCAACCGCAACTCCCGTTCTTTTCTCCGCCTGTCTCGCTACGACGCATCGAATCCGCTCACACCGCGCGGTCGGGCGCTCGACTGCGGAGCTCGACCCGCGGGGCGGTCGGGGGTTCCTTCGCCTCGGTCGGGGTGTTGGGAAAACATCAGGGCTACGTGGAATGGCATGGTTCGTGGAAAGAGATTGGAAAAAAAGACCGATGAAAATCCGCATACCACGCGGCCGCTGCACGTAACGGTGTCGTGTCCGATGTCGTCCGGAAGATCCGCTTCGACCTGTGTCCACCGTACGTGTCAGCCTTGAGGGTCAACGACCTGCATCTTCGTTTGAGGTCATGAACAGGCGTGTAAAAGGCCACGTATAGGGACTCCGAAAAAAGGTCACTTGGAAGAAGCTGGTAATTAAATATAGACCCAGTACTAGACCCAGTATGACCCATGGAAGGTCCATTCTGCTCAAAGCGGTGGTCCCCTGGAATCATGCCAGGTGGCTGTGGACCTCGTGGAAGTCCATCTCAATGCCCCTTGCACAGCTGGTCGTTCGAAGAATGGCGCGCATGACTAGTAGATGTCCTCCTCGATGTCCTTGGCTGTTCCGGAAAAATAACTGGATTTGGCGTTAATTTGTGCTCTCCCAGGTGCAAGCTACTCAAGAAAAGCCCGGTGTGAGGGGGGTGAACCAAAACTGAGCATGAATAGGGGTCATGATGGAATCAACATGTCATCCATCCCAGCTCCGAACTGGCAAGCTGTGATGCCGGACCCCAGCTAGCAGCAAATTTTGATACTCTTCCTACAATTCCTCACCGACTGGGATTTGCAAAGCTCTGCCTGCGGCTTAGCATGGAGTTTGTTCCGATTTTTGTCTCCTTGGCCGCTGCTAAGCTCTCTCCAGCACTGCCAGGGTTCGCGATGGACTTTTGGAATGTTCGAGGTCGAAATCCGGCGAACGTCTTCCAAAAGGGGGTCAAGGGGGTCAACTTCCTTCGCCGTGACCCTGACTTGTCATGAGCAGGAAGTGGCGTTGTCGTGAAGAGCGAAGAACAACTCCAGTCGCCTGTTAAGAGGCGTCCCATGTCTTGAAGGTCTGAGAGTATTTGTGAAAAGCACCAAGAAAGGATGACAGCGAATACCCCAAGACCCTCCAAACCAGCATAGCTGGCATAGTGCCAGGCATAGCAAACAGATTTTGACTGACAGCTGCAGCCAAGAAACACCAAAAGGATAATAACACAACGCGGAGGTTTTGATTTTCACGCTCATTTAGTTTGGTGATTGACAAAATACCCCCCCAAAAAACCTTCGCCAAGCCCATGCCCAGGCACTTCATGCATGGTACAAATGCCTACGTTGAACCCTTTTCAGCCACCGTGCATTATGAAGATTCTGATATGACCTGATATGTTTAAATATGCCTGGAATGTCTGGGATGCCCTGGCTCTGGCCGTTCTCGCGGAGTGCCCTTTTGCCAAGCGTCATCCAGAACAGCCAAGAAACCCACCATCCAATGTGGCAGCCGGCCTGGCTTGAAGTAACCCCGATGAAAGAACACCCGTTCGCGCCCAGCAGATTCTGTGAGCCTGCGCAGTCGAAATGATGTACTGCAAATGGCAGCGACTCAGCCGCTGCTGGATGCGAGCACCTCCGATCAAACACCCGTCCTTAACTACTACTACTACTACTCCTACTACTACTACTACTACAACTCCTACTCCTACTCCTACTCCTACATCTACTACTACTACATCTACTACTACTACATCTACTACAACTACATCTACTACTACTACCAGTACTACTACTACTACTACTACTACTACTACTCCTACTCCTACTCCTACTCCTACTCCTACTCCTACTCCTACTCCTACTCCTACTCCTACTCCTACTACTCCTACTCCTACTCCTACTCCTACTCCTACATCTACTACTACTACATCTACTACCACTACATATACTACAACTACATCTACTACTTCTAACAGTACTACTACTACTACTACTACTCCTACTACTACTACTCCTACTACTACTCCTACTACTACTCCTACTACTACTACTACTACTACTACTACTACTACTACATCTACTACTACTACATCTACTACTACATCTACTACAACATCTACTACTACATCTACTACTACATCTACTACTACTACTACTACTACTACTACTCCTACTCCTACTCCTACTCCTACTCCTACTCCTACTCCTACCCTACTCCTACTACTACTACTACTACTACTACTGTACTACTACCGTAAGAACCCCTGTAGTGATGCTACCACACTGTTTGACGAGGAACTTGGAGGCTGCCCGCCATGAGAGCAAATGATTTGTTTTGTCCTCCGTTGTTTTGGGAAAAGGCCATTGTTTTGGGAAAAAACACCCCCTGCACTGAACCCCAAGAATCAGCTGGACCATCAAAACTAGTCATAACATCCAATCCCCAGAATGAGAAGCTTGAAATGGCAAAAGGTTCTTGAATCCAAACTGAAAGCACCCAGCGGGCGTTTCCAAACATTCTCACCACAACGCCATTGACCGCCGTTCGTCCGTTCTTCGGAGGGTCTGCTGTTCTTCGGAGGGTCTGCGTGGCCTTCCAACACCGTCACCACCTTCCAGCGCGACAGCACCTGGGTGCGCGACTGCACGGATTTGGAGCGATTTTGGAGCGCGATTTTGGAGGAAAGCACTCTTCAGAGTATTCATACTCTTAAGGATAAATCATGATTCATCCATCCAGCAACCAGTCCAGAAAAAAGTCCGCGGGGATTCCCAAACGGAGCCCAAACATTTCCCTGGAGGCCAGGGCCTACATAAGTTGCAGTGGTTTTTCAGTCTTTGACTTTTAGACGATCTGAAGTCTCAAAACGTCTGAAACGATGCCGTCTTAGGAAACTTCGGGATGCCCAGAAGTCACCGTCACCCCCGTTGTTTTCATATCCTTTCATAGCCCCAGCGGCTCGCATGTCCTGGTCTGGAGGGCCGACCACAAAATGCCTCAGCGAAGGAAGAAAACTCCCGCAGCTTTCGAAAAACGTCGGACGCTCAACCTGTGGCGAGGTCTGTTGACCCTGACCTTTGTCATACCTGTCACTCCTTCACCTATTGCACTCATCGTCTTGCATCGCTCATTCCCACGGTGGCGAGGTGACGAAAGAGGTGGACACTGAATGATTCTGCAGAACAAACAGCCACCCCATTTAGTACTTCTCCATCAAGACGGATCCTGTGCGTGTGGTAATTCGGGCACCTGGAAGGGCTCCTGTAATCCCTGACTTCCCACTTGAATGCTCCTGACTTCACCAAGCAAATGGTGAAGAATCTTCAGGAAGAAATCTCACAGGATTCCATCTCAAACGTCAGATGTGCCAGGATTCCATCTCAAATGTCCCAGGTTCCTCACATTTGTCCCAGGTTTCCCAAATAAATCCTGCGGTACTTCACCCACCATTTCACCCGCCACATCCTTCCGCTTCGCTACTGATGTGCATGGCCCACCGTTGACCCCTTCGCATCGGTGATGTGCATGGACCAATCAGGCCGCACGCCGGTGCCCAGGCTGCTCACCGTGCCGGTGATCTGACCACGGACCGTGGGCACCAGCCAACCATCGAAGGAGACCTGCCGCGTTTTGTGGACCGGACGGACGCTGTGCTGGACATCCGAGACTCGTCTCGTCCACTGTTCCGGTGGTTTGGAGCGCCGGGCTCCAGTCGTACCGAACCGTTTCGGTTCGGTGGGACTGGGGGCCCGGGTGCCAGGAGGGTCTAGTCAGACCTTCGGTACTTGGAGGTTTAGGGGAGGAAAGGGACGGTTGAGAGATGGACCTGGAGATGGAGAAACGCTTCTTTGCGGCAATTCAATCAACACCGTTGGGAGTGCTTTTGTTGAAACAGCGTGGTCTCTAGAATTGAGATCAAAGCCTTAATAAACATTTTGAGTGTTCGCCACCTGGCTTTGGTGGATGAAGGCCTCCATGTGAAGTGTGAAGTGGTGTCGTGGCAGGCGTAGAACGCAAGTTCCAATACATCTATGATGGAATTGGTTGTAGCAAACAGTGGTCACCAATTAATATGTGTGAATGCACCGCGGAGAGCCCCAACGAAACACAAACAGAGCAGGTTAACCCCCGGCCGCCTGGCTAAACAACATAAACAAATATACACGATATACAAGTTTGGACTTACTTTGCACTATTCTACATGAGAAGTGGACCTTGTCAACATACCCAAAAGCGTTGAACCACGCGATGAAAACCAGGCCCCGCCCTGGACCAGGCCCCCTCACCCTCCGGCAAGCAGTGATAGTCACCACTCACTACCAGGATCCTGTTAAGATCTTGTTTAAAGCTCATTACAATCAAACATGTGAAATGGTCCTAAAGCTTTAAGGCGGCCTTATTAGAACAAATCCATATTTAGGAAGAGTTGCTTGGTAAAACAATATAAAACAGTGGTCGCTCAGTAAAAGCAATGCAATCAATGGTGGTTGGAATCCTAGGCACAATCATCTCTGTCTGTGTCTGTGGGTCACTTTGGCTGGAAGAAGGCTACTTCACGTTACCAGGTAGGTAGGCGATCAGGCCAAGCCAATTGTGTTGTGGACTCACCTTGGCCTTTTTCCTACACAAATGCGGTTGTGTGCAGTTGTCCCAGTGCAAGCACCTCCCCTTCAAACCAAGGTTGACACTTCCGCCGCTCTGAAGCTGCATTGATGCAGGCTCCTCATGAGCTTTTGCAAAAGCTTGCTTCCACCGAGCTTGGATGGATTTCTGCTGAGCCCGGAACCGATTCGAACTCGGCCCTGAAGGTCTCACTTTCGGCCGCCTTTTGATCGCATCACTTGCCTTTGCACAATTCTCTGAAGCAGTTTAGGCATCCACCACTGCGCTGGTGAGGCATCCACCACTGTGATCCATTGCTTTGGTTCCACAAAGTCAGGCGCAGAACAGCTACAAATGCCCGGCCAAAGGACCTATCAGCATCGGAGCGCCTCGCTAGAAGCTGTTCCATGCCAAGATAGGCTTGCTAAGAGCAAGCTGCTATATTAAGATCACTTCGAGCAACTTGCTTATTAATATAGCAGCTGGTATACCACTTTGTGTGTATGATGCCCTCAGCACAAGATCAATGATATACCACGTCATCATCTTCCCATCGAAGTGTAGGCCACAATTAGCCACAATCCACATGCAGCTACCCATCAACAGGCACTGAGAGCATTCTTGTGATCTCTTCTGGACTTGTCGGAGGCAAAGAGGGCTGAGAGGAGTCCAATCTCTGTCCAGAATGCTCCCTCCACCCAGCGTTCAAACGTTGAATATCCTTGAACCCTTGCAGTTCGTACATTCAACATCCATGTGAACCTCTGCAGTTGGATGATCCGAATGAAATCACCAAAGCGATCTTTCTGGGCATCCAAATGTTGCATCAAAACGTCGGCGGAAGACGGTGTCCATTGTTCTTGTGCGGACCTCACCTCCATGTCGTGCCAAGTGCACTTAGACACGCGGCGTGTTTGGGGCGTCACCCGGTCACCCCACCGGCCTTGAACTCCGGATGAGTGCCGAAGTTCCAGCTTGGCAGCAAATGTTCCCGCACCTGCCAAAGACTGGATCAGCTCACGAGAGAAACCTTTGAGGGGTCTGAGGAATTCTGCCAACTGACTTGATGATGAGGACATGACTTGTACATACTGGTTACATACTTGTACAACAACCGCAAATGTCTTTCGGACAAAAACGAAAGGGACCTCAGGAGGGACCACCCACTGGATATGACAGGTTCTCACAGCATCACTCCTAAACGCCATCGGCCCACCCCACCTCGGCTGTGGCCGTGTGATGTGCCAAATTAAATTGCCTGGAGCCTTGGAGGGACGCGACGGTGTAGATGCACAATCCAACAAAAAGGAGTCGCCACCCTACAACCCACCACCTTGCAAAGATTCGTCTTGCCAGTTACCAGTTCGGAAAGAGTTTGAGGAGTGTTCTGTTTGAATGGTTTTAATGTGTCAGCAACTCCAAGCGCAACACCAAATATCATGAGGCCCTTGACCTTGACCTGTAGGGACAATGTTGGAGAGCTTTGCATCTACCCCACCCCAACACCTGGGCAAATCGCATCTACCTACAATTGCGATGACCAGGTCCACCAGAACTGGAGCACCAACACGAGCACACAAGCGAGCACACCCGTTCACATGCCCAGTGGCAGTTCACCAAACAATGCCAATAGGATTCCGCCCACCAGAGCCTCAGCGAAGAGGTGCTGGGAATGTTGTTGCCCTTTCCCATCAAATTGGTTTAGGGACCTTGTCATGTAGAGCTGGGAATAAATGGTTTAGGAACCTTGTCATGGTATTATTGGGTAAATATTGGGATGGTTGTTGGAGATGTTGGAGGGATCAGGCCATGCCGTCATGCCATGCAGTACTTCAACATATTCAAGCGACCGATATATACAAAAGAACTGCCCTATCGATTCCAAAAACATGATCAAACTGATTGGCCCAGCTCTTGAACCTCTTTCCCCCATCTTTGTTACCAAGCTCTTGAACGACTCCTCATGGTGATCTATCTATGGCCATGGCGCTTATGGGGGATCCTCCACTGTCGCTTTTGGCCCTCGTGCTTCTTCCCCACACACATGGATTTGCTTGAAAAAAAACACATACCCTCCCTCCAACAATCATGGAAGTGGAACATGGCCTGTTCCTAGAGGAAAACACTCTTCCTTTCGGGGCCATGGTCTACCATCCGCAAAACCCCAGGGAGGTGTTCGCGCATCGATCGATGGGCTCGGGGCCGTGGCCGTGGGTAGGACGGACAATCGCATCGCCGTTCGTGGCGAGACGGACATCCAGGGGTGGTTGATGGATTTTGGGGGTCCAATAGTCCCATGCAGTGTCTGGGGTTGATGAGGAGTAGCAAAAACAATACTATAGTTGATGGATGAGGATGAAGATGAGGAGCGAACAGAACGCGCAATTGAGTTGGAGATCAGCAAGGCAAGGCAAGAATGCCGAACGAGAAAACAAAACGATCGAATCGATCCATTGAACAGTCATGAAACATCATTGGTTCTTCACCTCATGATGTCGGAGATGTCATAATGATCAGAATTTGCTTCATGACATCCATCTTGTCTATAGCTCGGACGCCCTAAAGTGTCCGTGTGAACACCGTTTGCTATGGACTTTCCCCATGCTTGCCAAGAAGTTTTTAGAGAAACAGTCCTAAGGTTAACCATGGTCAACTACACTGCTGTAGGTGATCATCTCTTCCAGTCAGGTCGTCCACTTCTTCACGTAGGTTGACACGGCAAAGTGGGGTTCGCACGCCACGTGCCGCGCTCTCACCGTGTGTCCCACCAGTGACCACGCCTATACCGTACCCGCCATGCTTCTCCTTCAGCTCGTAGAAGCTCGACGGCCGCCCGGCCGCCCCCGCGTCGCAGCGCTGCACGTTGTATTCCTGGACGAACGGAACGGCGGTGGTTGGTGGTGGAGATCGGCACGAAAAAAGAACACTGCGTAGTGGTACAGAATTTGCACCTTAGGAATGGATCCTTAGAGAATTGGGGCTGACTGGTGGAATTACCCCCGATCTAGATATGTTAGGATCCAGCCACCCTCATTCCTTGCGAGTTGTACCTGTCAGAAGGTCGGTCGCCCTTCCAGCTTTATCCTTGTTTGATTGGAAGGGGACTGGGAAGTTGGGTTTCAGCTTGCTACATCACTTGGTTTTCGCCAAAACCCCTGAAATCCTGTGAGTGGCGCGACCCAGATGATCCACCAAATTCAACGAGAGTAGGCCTCGCTGGAACAAGGACCCGAAACAAAGAGAGTTGAACGCTTCGTGGCTGAGCTGAAGACAACTCACCGTGTCTGTGAGATCGTGTCGACTCGCCCTTTCAAGGGAGGTCGCGGGACCTCGCCCAAATGAATGACCCAAAGCGAACCTTAAGATTTGAAATCAGGAACTAAATCGGGTATACTCAAACCACTAATTACCTTCCCCCGAAACAATAACTTTCCTCAGTAGTGTTTGAAATTGGGATTGTTTTGGTAGCAGACTCTAACAATTACCTTCCCCCTAAAAAATGTAACTTTCCTCAGTGCCATGCCAGGCTTCGATAAGATTCGACACATGCCTGGTCAAATGACGTACGCCTGGGTCACACAGAAAGACCTTCTTTCTTGAGTCTTGAAGACTCAAGAACGGCACCATGCACCGGAACGAACGAGACGTCCATTCCTGGTTCCTTTTCAGATTCATCAGTTGCCAGGGATTTCAAGAGGCATGAACACCAGCAGTCTTGCCAACCGATGTAGGCAAGCGCATGTCACAAAAAGGGAACAAAGTGCATCAAACCACCAGTAAATGTCTTAGGCATTTTCGTCCGTGGTAACGCTTGACATCCCGTCTCATAGTCGGTCTTGTAGCAAACAACATCTAAGAGATTCCATGGTGTCCTCAGTCCCTTCGTCCCAATTCCCACCGCGCGGCAGGCCGCCCCGAGCGACGTTAGTGCAGGTGGAGAATCAATGATGGGCTTGAAGCGCGACAGGAAGGAGGCATAGCGGGCTTCGAACCAAATGCGGCCATGAGCATCAGAGAAGCCAAAGCGCATGATCACAAAGAGGTTGATGTCGTAGAAATAACCTGAGGCAACATCGAGGTGCAAGTTTCAGCAGCTGAACAACCAATAATTTGCCACTTCTTCCTATCACCCGGTGGTGATGACAGAGGTTTCATGTCACCTAATTCGGTTGACAGTCCTGAGGGTCTGGAACTGTACCAAGGACACTATAGACACACTTCAGTTCTGGACTTTTTGAATCAGTACTGCCAGTAGTTGTAGTACTGATATTTTTGTAGTAATTAGGTCTCCACACTGTGAGGCTAGCAAATCTCCAAGCAAAACCGCTGGTGACTGGTGCATTTAACGTTCTATCCAACAGTGGCCGGACCCAGAACAGGATTTGTCCCGGTCAGAGTCCCAGTTCCGATCTCGTCCCCTGTGCGAGATATACAGCGCCGCAGTCATGTTCCACCAGCATCCAATCCCCACCGGAGAGGCAAAGAGTACAGAATATGCATTTTATATAATTTCATTGTTGCATTTCCGTATGAACCTAAACCATACACCAATGCAAGTCAGCTCGTGATCTCAAAAAAACAAAAAACTTTGCTCCGTGCTCGCTCCGCGCCCTGTCTTTGAAGCGATGTTCTGAACACATCTCCCTTGACTTCTTTGACGTTCGGTCCGTGAAGCGAACTCTAAGAGCTTTTGGATGACAGTGTCCAAAGCCCAAAGCAACATGCCCCTCCAACCTGTGTCAATCTAGGTGTCAGTCTGACATCTCCTAACTGGAATTTTCTGAGTCGAGACCACCTCGGAGGTGGTCTAAGCTTGGCCTGAAGCCATGGTGGTTTACAGGTTCACCCTAGGTGTCAGCATCATGGAGCCTCTTCAGGTCCTCATCTCAACCCCTCTCAAAGTGTGGAAGCCATGCCTCCATAATATATGGATTCTCATGATGCATTTTGCTATGCAAGAAAAAAGCACGCGCGGTTCGAAAAGCAATCATTCTGGAAGAACAGAACTTCACTCGACTCATGTATACTGTTGCTGGAGCTTCATCAACATCAACAGGCTGCATGAGGAGACAAGGTCAGGAGTCGACTTAATGCCATCAACACCATCAACTCACCCCCTGAAATCCCCGACTGACCAAACAAAAATATGCAGTTCTCATCCCAATTTACCCAAGAAAGAGGTCTCTCACTGGATGGGGGTAAATCTTAAAAGCTTTCTCGGATTTCTCGTCACACGAGAAAGGAAAGGAAGGGGAGCGACACCAGGGGACCACGGGGTGTTTGCGTGTCCTTGGGAGTTTTCCCTTCCCTGCCCCTCCCTGTGACTGACGAAGGGCCCACATGAGTTTGGTTTGCATCGTAGACATCCACCAGCTTGGTGAATTGGATGAGGAGGTACTTCCTGGCTGGGTGGAGCTGAGCTTCGGGTGCATCTTTTGGAGTTTCAACTTGCAGCTTCACCGTGCTTCACCCTCTCCTTGCAGAAAAGGTCCTTTGGACAATTGCTCAAACCAGGATCCATGAATTGGGGATCACCCCTGCATGAATTAAGCATAACTTGGAGCGGTTTTCTGAAATTTGCACTGGAATCTCAACAGCCACATACAGCAACTACCCTCTTTTCACAAAACACAATCTTGCATCCGCCTCTCGTTGGACACTGATGCTTGGGGCTTTTCAGACCGTCCAGTCCCCTTGTGGGCTTCATCTTGGCACCGGACGCACTTAGCCGTTCCACCGGCTTGCCATCTGTTTCGTAACTTGTGATATAACAAACATCTATAGACAGATCTTCCGAAAAAACATGGAACTTGAACCTTCTTGGTACCGTACTCCTTGATCCATTTGACATGTTGGAGCTGGGACCGGGAACGTTCCTCAGTGTGTGTGCGACCGAGACGCCGCTCGACCAGCGTGAAGTTGGCAGGTAGGAGTTGCCCACCCTTGGGACGACAGAAGTGCAGTTCCCCGGTGGTTCATGCATCTCTGTGAGATGTCAACGGGAATGTGGCTGTCAAAATGTGTCTGTCTTGTGGCACAAGGAAAAACAACAAAAAACGTATCAAATCCATTCAATCATCAATTCCATTCGGCCGCTATTTTGGAGCATGTTCGGTTCGTCTTCGATGACATGAACCAAATCAATCAAACTCATGCGCCTTAAGGAGACCACTCCGTTCGACTCCCGGAAGCGCCGAACATGGAGCCCCACTCAGACTCGCCCCACTCGCTTCCGGCCCCAAGTCACCCAGTGAACATCCTGAATGTGGCGCTACGCGTGCCCTGTTTTGCAATCGATAGGCCGTCCAAATGTACCAAACACACGTAATAAAGACACGTCCCGAGCACCGCCATCGGCTCCATGCAACTGGGGGTGGCCAACTCTTCCAGTGGAAAGGAGTGGACATCTGGGAAAAGGTGGACGAACGGTGGCGACTTTCCATTAGGATGTCCCACCTCAGGGGATTCAGATCCATCCAGCGCGTCGCTGCGGAGCGCTCGGACGCGACGAGGAACGGTCTTTGAAGCGACTAGTAACAAGAAGCCACTAGTATATCTTTGATTACTACTACTAGGAGCAAGGACGCTATTAGGGGCTCCTGGCCTTACTACTAGGAGCAAAGATGCTACTAGGGGCTCCTGGCATCGCTACGAGTACTAGGAACAAGGACGCTGGGATGGGCCACACTAAGATTCCTTGTTTTTTTAACTTCCGCACGACGACGTTTCGCAAAGCCCAGTGACGTACGGCGGATCCACTTGAGCTAAGATCTCTGGGCTGCAGTGCAAGTTTCCTGGGTTGCAGTGCGCTTGAAGGACAGGTGCAACATTTGATGAAGTGTGAGACATGCAGGCCTCACCCCGTCCCAACTAGAAACAGTTCTGGATGGATGTTCTAATATGGTTTGCATGAGGTCCTTTACATAGCGACATGTGGGATTGTGACAGACTAGCGAAACGCATTTGCACCATCAACTCCAAAAGATGCAGTGCACATGGACACCGGAACAAAAAGGATGGCGTTCATCGCGCGGGAACGCATCTTTAATTGAACACCCACTCCAATTGTTGATAACAAAGCTGAGTTTCGTGCCACTCATGCCGCTTACAGGAAAATACAGAAAACAACCCGCCAAAATTAACAACAATTCAATACTGAAGGGGCTTCGAGATAACACACTTGAACAAATTTGTGTGTGACCAAGAGTCATTGACCGAAGTGCTTGCCAGTGTAATTATTAACAATGCAATGTTTGCCCAAAATCCACTCAGATCTATTGGGGTTTGTGGTTTTGAGGTTCCCGGGGAATATTTGACATGGGTATGCTTCTGAGGTATGCTTTAGAGGTAAATATGCTTCGGGAGCATTGTTTCCGGGTATGCTTCGTGGGGCGTCAAAAATGGCAGCCACAAGGAGGAGGGACACGATGTCCCAACCAAAACCAATTAAATTTGTCCACTTCCGTTCATCTTCCAGGTGCCGACCCCCCCCCAAAAAAAAACCGACGATCACCCACCCACGCAGCCGTTCAACGATCAGGGGTCCCCAGCTCTCCGGTCACGCCGAGCGTCGGGTCACGCCGATCCAAAAGGCCACCGTGAACCTGACCGGCTCGACGGACCGGTTAAGGCCGATGCTCGGAGTGACCCGATGAATCGAACTCAGATGTTTCTGCACCTCGGCATCGGAACAACGGGATACAACAAAAAAGGTCACTGACTGAAGAATCAGGTGCAGTATATGGAATGTTTATAGCCATGTCTGATTTTATACATTGACCCCTGAACCACTCCAATATACTCCAATGTAAAATGTGGCCTGTGAAGATCCATTGGTTGAATGCATCATTTTGGGAAGGAAGGACGTGTTGATCAAACGAAGCGGACAAACCTGTACAATGTGAGATTTAGAGTTTTGACCAGCAAACGCGGGGGCTTTGCAAACTTTCATGTATCTCTCTCTCTCTCTCTGTCTCTGTGTTTCTGTCTGCTGTCCATCTCTTATGTATGTTGGGCGCTGGATTCGCGTTGGTGGGAAGTGAGGCAGGAGAAGATCCCTCAATAACGAAAACTGTTCATGATCCGGCACATATAAGGTCCAAAGACTGCCCCACTGAAGTAATGGAAGCTTTTAGGGGATCACCTGAAGATCATAGTCTTGAGACTCCCAGTACTTACACACACTATTACACACGTATATTGGGTCTATCGTATTACCGATAACAGTGGATGATTGTGGTTAGTAGAGGCCTGTCTCTAAAGTAGTGATGTTCTTGCTTAATGACAACTACAGGAAATATAAGACTGTGACAAACCCAACACACACACACACACACTCTTAGATTGATGCTCGCAAGAGCTGTATCAGTTCGTGAAGTCCCTTTACACAAATTAGACCTTGACTTGCTTCAACGGCAAGAAGTGCTGGGTCGGTCGAAAAGAATGTTTGAACAAAGGCTCACTAGCGCTTTATACGGAAAGGGGGGTCACAGGTTCAACAAAGAAGACATTGAAATCCATGCAGGCACGTAACTCCAATGTCCCGGAGCTATATCACAAGCAAGAGATAGGTGTCTTCGTTGGCACCTGCCCTATCTCTGCTTCAGGTGCCCCCCGCTCTGTACATTGAGTGAGGTAAAGCTAGAAGGAATTAACTGCCAGTTAGTTCCTTAGTGTGGTCGAAATCCTTGGAGACAGGAGTTGACACACACACGTCTTTCTGTTACCTGCCCGGCTAGCCGACTTGGAGCTATATGACGGCCCGGCTAGAGGACCTGGCCACTGCAAGCTGGAGGACCAAACCCTGGACATCCCACCTTTCCTATTAACGATATATTTCCCAACAGAAGTAACATGCGAACGTAACATATATGAACCGTTTCCGGAATCGTCTCTGATCAGATGTCTAGACCTTGAGCGACTTCGAAGTCTGTCGCAGCGGTCGCAGCGGTCGTGTCTCTCACACAGGGCGATCCTCCTCTTCGGAATGTCTCGGATCAGTCAGCTGAGCCGAGGCAGCCGAGGAACAGGCAGCCGAAGGAAACCAAACCGCAGCAACCATTCCAGCGCCCGCGCGAGCGACACTGACCTGGGCCCAGCCGCGGCTAAAGGAATGGTTAAGGGAGGACTGACAAGAATGACTCGTGGTTCTTTTTGGATGTTGAAGGAAGAGTTATTGAATGTTATTGGCTTAGCTTAAGCCCGAGAATTGTTTTGCTGGTCTCACATCTCTTTGACTCTCAGGACAATTGGCCGTATGTTGCAACAAATAGCCACCAACCTAAAACACGGGACCCAAATGTATCTTCCACTTCCATGTTTGGGTGTACCACTGCGCGTACCTCTATCTCATCTTCCACGTCTTTCAACGGGTGCTAACTCTCGACAACAGCAAATGCCTTGTCTGGACGCTTGTGAATGAACAAGCACCAGGACTGCTTGTTGGACATAGCAAGGCTTGTTCTGTCCGGCTGTTCAATTGATAAAGTATACCATGTCCCTGCGGCCAGGGGGCAGCAAAGGAAGAGGGCCCCGTAGCAATTCCCGCAATCTGATGACTCCAGCAAAGGCTCATCCATGACAAGCTAGCGCGTGGCACATGCCTAATAGTCTTGTGTCACTGTTCTCAGTTGAACTCTTACACCAGGCAGTCATGATATTTGCAAACTTTATAAGACCAGTGGGTACATGTGTACTGTCCCACTCACCTTCACGTGCTTTCCATACCTGTTTCAAGCTGCCCTTAGTAGAACGGGATCATCATGCAAGGTGCGTCCTGCTAGTCAAAACCAGAAAGAACAAAGTCCGCTTACGACCCTTTTTTGCGAGCTAAGTCGTGTTAACGCCAAAACCCGTGGACAAGTGGGCAAGTGAATCCGCTGAAAAAAACAACTTTCAAGCTGTTATTGCGGGAGCAGTACAATATAGTACAATATATCGTGCAGGATGAAAGACCTAGGTGAGGCCATTTTGGAACAGCTACAACTACAGATTTGCCTCACACCAGCATCTCTCACAACTGGCATCTCTAAAAATATATATATATATATATCCCAGGAAACAGCAGGAAACCTTGGCAAACTCCATGCAACATAGATCTAACATCATGTCATGGTGAAACTCATGTCTCGCTTCAGAACTGAAGGACGGTGTTGCGGCCAGCCGGTGAACAAGGTCCAGGACGGATCCCATAGGCTATGGAGAGATGTGACATCCATCAAAAAGGGGTCACTGTTTGGTATTCGGATTTCATGGTCTTTCCAAAGGCTCATGCCATCCACGTTGGCCCACGAGGACGTTGGAGGGAAGGTAGGCGTTCAAAGGACCCTTTTCCACGTGTCTGCATGTTAGTCAGAGTGTCCTTCAAAGCAGTTCAAAGGGGGGGTGCTTTACAGAAGTGGTCGCCACCGGTCTCAAGTGACTGCAATCAGCTTGCAGTGCCTGGCTGGCTCAAAAGAACTGAGCTTTTACATGTCTGTAGCCATGTACTCCAAAGCCGATTCTATCACACCTGGGTGTCTTGTGAACAGTTCGAGTACCCTAAAAGGTCAGGAACCATTCCTAAAAGGTCAGGAATGGCATCCCGAGAGCACCCTGAGTCACTGGTTTCCTCTAGCTGCGCCAGTGGTTTTCAGGGTCCATGTTCTTCAGGGTATTGAGGATGCACGTCCAAGATGTGCCATGTACTGTGTCATGTCCAAAAAACCTGTATGATCTTCTTGGGATACCCTCACTATGGGGGAACTAACCCCCTGGAAAATGAGGGTTTGCACTTTTCCACCCTTTTGAATTGGATTCGGAGAGCCCATCCCTCTGTTCCACGTACTTCCTGCGTATGGAAATAGGTTCAGGCTTGGGAACTCCCCAAGTTAGTTCTGCCCCCCTCGCCCCACATGGCGCGTGGAACGTGGCTGTGGGATCGGCATTCCCCAAACACGAACTATGGGACTAGCATATCTACCCACAGTAGGGTGCTTTTGCATATGTGCCAGTCCCCTGGAACTCCCATGCCCAGCTATGTTCTCCCAAGGGCTCCTCGCGACCCCCAGGTGATTCCGAAACACTTCAGGCTCCACCCTGTTCTCAGCGGAAATGGAGTCACTATAGTTGCCACAAATTGCATCGTATGGACTGCATAAACATAGGTCCTGAAACCACTTCAGGGTCGGGGGGGTGGCAAAATCAACAGTCATCCAGTCAGTTGCCAACGATCTTCCACTTTCTCACGGTGATTCACTCCTGCACTTCTGCACTCCACGAAAAAAAAAGAATCCAAACGGAGTTCTCCGATACAAACGGCGAGTCGCAGCCTGAGGACTCGAGTCAAAGGATTTCCATGTCACACGCGAAAGTGCTACAAAAGGTGTAAAAGGTCCAAATGTGTTTGCTTACCTTTCCCTATAGGGCTCCAAGCACCTTCGTTTCGAAGGTGCTCGGAGTGGGTTTAGAGGGTCCAGAAATGGTCAAAAAAAGAGACCTCTGCACTTGGAACCCTAGGGTTTGGAGACTTGACATCCAAAACTCTTCCAACAAGGCCTCTGCTTTGGAACAACAACGGGATTGGACTGCGCGCGTTGGACCGCGCACGCGCACCCCGTCGATACGGACGGCGCCTAATGCCTCGGTCGATACGGCCATGGTAGCGCTGGTTCTCCATGTCCTCCCGGCCCAGCGGTCTTGCGGCGAAACGGGCGCGCTCGTAGCGGGTGTGGAACATGGCGATGGGCTACATGGAAGGACGGTGAAACCACATCTGGTTTGGCTGTGTCAAGTCACTGGAAGTCCGCCATTTAGGAGAAACTCCTCCATCTGAAGCGGAAAGGATCATAACGAACCTAGCCTAATGTATCACCATGTCTCCTCCACTACAAACCCTGAGCTTCTAACGCTTAGATTCGATAGGCCTCGGCTTTTTCATGTGCACCATATAGGCTTCAACAGGGATATGTTTGAGCCCTTTTTAAATGGGAAGGCAGCTGAAGCAGGCTGCCGAGCTAAAACACAATCTCACCAAAATCACCCCACTTCCGGAAAAAAAAACTGAAAAAAGTCATCACCCCACTGACACCACTTCTGAACAATTGGGGTGATCTCAAAACATGGGTCGACGACCAAACCACCAAACCTGGTCGACGTGATTGGCTCTTCGACTCGGTCACGGCTCGGAGGCCCCGTCCTCCTCGGCTCGTCCATAGTCATGAAAGCTGAGGTAGGGCCTCGGCGTGTCCACCGCGGAGGTCCACCGCGGAGGTCCAGGTCCACTGGTTTCATGAATGGCTGGCAGGTCGCCTGCGCGTGATCTGCTGTGGTGGTTGGTTGTGGTGGTTGTTGCTTGATATGTTCGACTTACCTCGCCCAACTTTGGTGAATGCCCACCTTGTTTTTATCTTATTCAATCTTATTCATAGACGCAGATTGTGGTGAACTCGTCAACTGCGGGTCCTCCTGTGGAGACACCTGGATTCTTGTTGGACACCGACCCCTTCACTCTGGAACTCCAGTGACGGCCACCTCCCCGCCACCTGATCCGAGTGCCCCGTACGGAGGCACCAGCACCCGGGGCTGTGTGGACCTCGAATGGCTTGGACATGGAAAGCGTTTCCTAACCCTAGGGCCCTAGGGCTCCAACTTGCACAGGTGGAAAAACTCTACCTTAGGTGGTAGAGTGCTTTCTCAAGCCACTGACGCCAGGAGGAAAGGAAGGGTGTTTTCAGGCGCCATCCACCCAGCATGTTGGGAGGGTAGGTTTCTACCCCGGTCAGCATGTGTCTCCTCCTGGGTGGGTCCCAACCGCCACCTCCACAGAGCGAAGTTAAGGAGTTCTTTGATCAGCCCAATGGGTGACACGGTGACAGTTTTTATCTCCACATCAGTTGATTTGGTGACATGGTCTAAAACAAATCTAAGAGGTGCATCCAGGTGCAACTGGTCAATTTACTGAGAGTTAGCCTGGTGCCAAACAATGCCAACCAATTAGTTTATATACTTGGACCCTCCAAAGGGTGCCCTGTCTGGAAGCCTATAGGTAGTGTGGGGTAGTCCATTGGACACCCCTTGGAGGGTCCTGGTAATAGTGTTTATATATATATTATATATATATATCAAAATGACTGCTCCTGCATGCAAACTCCTCGGAGTTAATGACATGACGCATCCGCGCGCAACATACAGGTGTAGTGCATGATTTGAGATATCAAGTGTCCTTATATGTATCCTTCAGATTGATCAGGCCGTCCAGGAAGACACAATAGCCATCAATCACAACTGCTTTGAACTTGAGGGAGTTCTCCCTGGCCATCCGGGCCCATTCCAGCCGTTCCGTTTCAGCCCGAGCCGTAACCGCGCCACTGCGGCACGGGGTGCTGCACCCCGCGGACACGTGCCAAGACACCCGGGTGCGAAGCTGCTCGCCAAACGTTGCTCCACGGCTAAGCGATCCATGGCCATGGTTGGCGGAGGCTTCCGTGCCGGAGACCTAGCCCTTTGCCAAACGGGTGATGCTTGAAAACGGGTCTCCCACACTGGGTCCCACACAGGATGCAAATCAAGGGCACTGGGGTTTGGTTCAGAAGATTTGAGGTGACCACAAGGGACCGGTTTTTACACCGTGAGTTGGTGATATCAGTGGAGTTGCTAAAAAGGGGCAAAAGCATGCAAAAGCTACCACTTGTTGAGGGTAATAAGTGGGCGGCGCTTTTGATCATAAGCATGGGAGTTATCAAAGGGTGCAGTCTGGCAACACAAGACCCGCAATCCCACACCTTCCCTACGTTTGATTCAGGGTGGTCCGGGTATGGCAAAATGCCATGCAAGCCTTCCACGCCACAAAGCTGGTGCAGCTTTGCAGTGTCTTCTCAGGTGCTGAGCTCCAAAGTTTACACAAGCTTCAACTGTAAACCTGCAAACGAGACTCTGAAAAGCAATGCCAATGCAAACAGCGCCCCTTTCAGACATTCTCCCTTCACAACTCAAAAGACCATGCTCAACTCGCGACTTCAACTCCCCACTTCGGAAGTGATTTAGGGTGCACCCCGAGCGTCTGCATGATTTGGGCCAAATGCTCGCGAGAAAACTCGGTGTCCCAGCAGGTACCGTCAGATCCAACGTATACATGAGGCTATTGTTCATGGCGCCATGCTGGGGAAGATTCGGGCTCCAACAAACAGACTAAAAACGATCGCAACACTTGAAAAGCGAATGATTGCAGCGCCCAAAGAGTGTAGTTTAGGCGAACTGATACTTTCTTTCATGGAGGAAGCCGAGGGAACCCTCCCGAAGTGGTGAAGATTGGACTAGCTTCGGGATGCCAATTGTTGAGGCAGTGTCCTATTTCTGGGACTGTTCTCATTCAGGACTTCAACCCCCACACGGCCAGTGAAATAATGAGATCTAATGAGTAAGTAGATGCACCTGCGGCCACAGGTTTGACCTTTAGCAACCGCAAAGAAAGAACGACAAGTGTTCTCGGTGTCGAGTTTCTGGGCAAACCAATGGACTCTCCATGCGCCTTTGGTCCTGGCATCGGCGCCTATGGCCAGTTCCAGACCTTCCATATTTGAAGGAAGTCCTCTCTAACATGAAGTGGAAGGGGTCCCCCGGGGTGTCTTCTCATGTGTCATTGGCAAAGATTGCCGATGTGAATGTGTTTTATTTTGGCCCTGCGATCAGATTAGACAATATATGGCAATCTCCTCATTTCTTGGATCAACATTGGGCGCAAATCACTAGGTGGTAGGCATTTGCAATTTTTTTGCAGGTCAATGATGCTAGCAGCTATCGCAAACTACTTTTGCAGGAAGAACCTTGGGACACTCAACGACGAGTTCGCCTCGACCTACCCTCGAAGCCGAGACCTTTTCAAGTAACACCAAATGCCTGAGACACCCACTTGCACTACATGCCACGAAACAATACGAAACAATGTTTTTCTTGAACTTTGCACCGGTCTTGAGATTTTAACACGACTTGAGAAGTTTGTCTGCTCTTTGGATGGGTCCACTTGTGTTCAGCGAGGTATGGAATGTGACATCTATACCAGACCCTTCAATTCTATGTTAATCATTCGAAGAAAACCGCTTGTTCACTGGCCCGCAGCTTACCATGAAACGCAAAGGGTCTTGGGCATCAAAAAACAGGGAGCTTTTTGGAGGAGAAAGTCATGCTTTTGATGGTGGGGACCCTAAGTGCATACTGCTCACTGGGGCATTTCCAGGGATTCTGCGTTCGCGATGCACCTCTGCAAAGCATTCCTTCGACGGCCGATGGACTTCCCAAACCCAAACCGCGCTGCTTCTCTTTGGCTGCTTTGCAGGCCGAGTCTTCTGGCGATTGTGGTGTTCTGATCTGTTCTGAACACCGCACATCTGGGACAATTGTTCAACTAACATAGTCTTGAATCAGTGAACTCCTGAAGCAAACCTTGTGTCAGCACCACTAGGTTCACTACGTTTCTTCATGTTTCTTCCCTCAACAGGTGGTTTCTTCCCTCTTGTGACCAACACATTTGTTCAATCCATCTCTGATTGCTGCTAGTCTTTGCCGTTCACACATGTGCAGTTTCAATTTTCTTTGATTGCAAAAAGTATATTATCTCTTTGGCTATCTGGCTGCCACAACACATCTTTGAAGATCGACAGTTGGCAAATGATCACATGAAGAAGATGAACAGCTTGACAAAAGCCACCTTCCAAGAATAGTTGCACGTCTTCCTATCTGTCCCAACTCACATCTTCTTCAGCCTCGGACATGTGCTCCAATGCGGACCTTCCCTATGTGGCAGTACAACCAGCCTTCTGAGGCCAAACAATGGTCGCACACTCTCTGCCCAGGCCATCCATGGGACTGGAATAGATACCTAGCACTTCCAATGGGTGTCCTGTCTGGTGACCTATGTACGCAGTGTAGGGTGGTCCACCCTTGGAAGCAGCTGGTACCTACACTAGGGCCATAAATTAATGGTGTAACTCTTCCATGGATGGTCTGGGCTGGAACCATGGGAATGGCAGCAAGGGATAGCACGGAGTGCGGATGACCCATTTTCCGGAGACCAAGCAGGTGGTGATGTCCACTTCCATGTTACATGACTAGAGTATCTACTGACCAACAAAAAGCCCCTGCTCTTGCCCAGAAATGGTTTAACCTTACTAAATCACCAACTTTCACATCTCATCTCACCCATCGGCTTGTCCTATACGCCCCGAGGTTCCTGAGTCAAACTCTCATGCTTTCCGAATTGCGATTACTCCATGATCGGACATGAAGTTCGCCTCGTTCACCTGCAACAAATCGTCCAGTTCGTACCATATTTAGCCTACGGGGATCCTGTCCCATATCCTCAGGTTCGGTGGTATTCGACCCGCCCTGGCACCCACCCAACCCTGGCCCATCTTCAAGACGGAGGTAGGACTGCCACCGAGTCAAAGCATTTCTTTACACTCCGACGAATGAACCCACTAACATGCATGGAAGTGGTGAAAACCACCACCCCTGTTCGTAGGGGAGGAGTCTTCCCAAAGGTCATGCCATCCATTTCCATGTGATGTCTTCGTCGGAGGTTAATTGTCTTGAACTTCCCACTGTGCCCCTCCTTTTCCCCTCCTGTTCCTCTCCGCCGGTCCTTTTTCTGGCGCTTCTGATGCTCCAGGACGAGCTGACGGATCTCTTCCATGGTGCTGGGAGAGGTGCTCACGTTGATCATCAGGTGGTCATAGACCTTCTCCGTGGACGTGTCCTGCGACGCCCGAGTTCCCGCTGACACGAGCCGTTCGCGGCCTGAGCTGCTGGCTCCGGCGTGTCTCAGCCAACAGTTGATGGTTTTCTGGATGGCACCCCCTTTTGTTGTGTAGAGCAAGATGTTTCTTTTTGCAGGGTTTTTGTGGGCACTTCCATGTTAGGCGACTCAGATTGTACTTGGCTGTGATTGGAATGTGGATCCAAAAGAACAGTTTGTAGAGTCACCGTCCGGTGCAAGACTGTTCAGCCACTGCATCTTGAGGTTCTCCAATTTCTGAAAAGAACCAACAACAGCAATCACCCCAACACTGTATATATACAAATATACAATTGGATCCGTTTTAGGGGTGCAGCAGGCACAAGCTGGGATCTATTATATAAAATGCTGCTTCAATGAAGCGGTCCGCTGCATTTGCTCGAAGGTTTGACAGATCAAGAAGCCTGCCTCACCCAAACACTCCATGTATGGAAAGCAAAACGTGCCTACATTGGTGTGGTTTCAAGGGTCCATGTAGGCATATGGATATCTGTGTCATCTGTATGTACATTTATGTACACACCATAATTACAATATAGTGTCTGCACTGCATGATGCTCACACCACAGCACGAAAAAAAAGACCCCGCCTCGAGCTCGTATCTTGGAGTTCCACCCTCCTCGTCCTTCTTCAAGACCTGAAACTTCGGGGCTCAACCAACTTTCCGGCCCAGATGTCCCATGTCTGTCCAGCCATCAATGGCTTTTAAGTAGGGGCCTCCCTCGGAAAACAGTCGTAGTGACTCGTTCTTAAAAACCTGCTGGTAACCATGCACTGCCCACTAAAAATATCTCCCGCTGGATGTTCTCAGACTTGGTCCCAGAATTCCTCTAACACTATGCGCCACGGCGCGGCCGAAGCGCATCGAGATGACTCAGTTCGCTTGGCCAATTTGCAGAAGTCCTGAATCAAAGAACTCTGTGGGCCAAGCGGCACAACCAATCTTCAATGCCAGTTCATCACGGGGCACCTTGAGGTAATCCTTAGAGGCAAGGATTGAACTTGGCAAAGTGATAGACGTCGTGTAGATGGTCCATGTACTATCAAAAGGAAAGCCTTTTTCAGCATCAAAATCCATGTTGCCAGCAAGGTCAACTTGTGGTAGTACAACTGGTAGTACACAGTAGTACGTGCCTCTCTCTTGGGAGTCTGAACGCAATTTTGGATGGGGCGCCTCTCAGGAGTGTCGTATTTAATAGTAGCCACAACATCCAAGGTGAAAGAGGGACATTCCTTTGGCCCATTCGACGATTCCTTTTGGACAGCCGTTCACATGACCACAAGTGGGATTAGACCCTTGAAATAAAACTACTTTTAACTAATAGAGTATCTTGATCTATAAAATGCTGTTGAAAAGAACTCAAAGTAGTTGGCTCTGTTGATTTGTTGTGAAGCTTCCAGAGGCGGCGATCAGGGACGTGGATTAAAAGAACAACGACCATCGGCCGACCAAGGTTTGCTATCGGAAATTCCTAGTCAAAGGATGACTAATTATATAATATTAAGTATTTCTTATGGAACACGGGGATGATATTTGGTACACCCGGGAAGAGACCCACATGGAACCCGAATTCGTGGACTTTTGGAAGACGAGAAAACCCGCAACCCTGTCGTGGTGAACTCAGGTTCCATGTTACAGATCCCCCTGGGTGTATGTCCCGGACCGAGAAAACCGAAGGTGGACGATCCGACCTTAGGGGCCGTGGCCTTTGGTCATTCCAGTCGTCACTCCTTCGAGGCGGTCACCGTCGGACTCCCACTTCGTCAGTCCCATTCTCGACCGGTCGGCCCCTCGAAACGGAACATCCGCACCATGTCGTGGGAACACCTTACGCTCAGCGGCGGGGTTCGGGTGCGGCACCCGGTGGGAGCGCTTCGTAAGCTTCGTGGAACACGTGGAGTCGAAGCCCAAAACAGGAGGTTTCTTGGCCGTTCGGACACCCCTCCGAAGCTTCGGTCTTGGAAACCTTTCCGAACGGCCCACGTACGCCGGAGGTGGTCTCCACGCGTGGTTTTCGTGAAAGGATGACCATGAACAAAAAAACAAAAACAAATAGGTGGTGTCATCCACTTCATTCTTGGTATGGGTGGTATGGGACCATGCTTCAACTGGGAAGGATCCGGTTCCGCCGGCATCCGCAGGCTTTCTCCTCCTCATCGCACCGGCTTTCTCAACCGAACCGGCGGACTGGGCGGTAGTGACATTGGATTCTATCCCCATCATATCCCAGACACGACCCATGGGACTGCCATAGGACTGCCGCCCCAGACTTGACCCCCAGTCAACCACCCCCAACTGGGGCAGCATATACGGCCGTCCCATGGAGTGTCTGGGATATGGAATATTTACATGGGGCTGGTTGCATCACTATATTATCATATATCCATGCATCATATCGCACCATACATGGAGTGAGTCTCCATAAATTAAATCACATCCAACTCCAACAAACACACCAAACACCACAAAAGCCACCTCTCCGTCCGTCTTCCCTCCATCCGCGCGCAAACCGCACCCCAGACCGCAGACCATCCGAGCTTCTGAGTGTCGGACCGTCGTGAACAAAGCCCACGTGTGGACGGTGGGCCCGGCAGGCACCAGCACTTCGCAGTCGTTATACCATTCCACACAGCGGCGGAGGGCTTGCTCAAAGCCTGCCCAAGCCCGAAACCAGCGTCTTTTTTGGGATCGGTCTGGAATGGCCAAACCAGCCTTGCAAAAAAAGTTGGAAACCCAGCAACTGAAAAGGCTCAAGATCAGTCTTACGAGTACATCATACTAACAACCCTACAAGATCGCATATTTTCCAACCATCCCTTTAACTTCCAACTCCCCCCAACATGCAGTAATTTCATCGCCTGAGGAAAGCACTTCCAAAGCTAAAGGGCTCACAGCCACCTCTGCCATCCAATCAGCTTCTGAAAGCGGCGTTTTGACCGGCGCTCGGAACGCGCACAGCACGCCCTGGTGTTGGACCACCGTCTGCGAAGCCTCGGGACGGGACCTAACTGCGGGCGCTTCGTTGTCGTGCTGCTTGGGGTGTGGGTGAAAAGTCCTGGATGCCCAAACGCTCATGGACCCTCATCAGTAAGGGGTGGGAGCCTCATATGGGGGTCTGGGGTCTGAAAGAGACCCAAGCTGTTTGGAGCGTGGGTGGATCATGCATTAGAACATCGGTGAACATTGCGTCTATTTCTGTTTCTATATATAGGTATTATATATTTGAGCGGAATCAACCAAGTCACCCGATGTAACCTGGGAATAGCAACATGGCACCTCTGAAAACAAACATAGATCATCATAGAACCTGAAAGTCCGTGGCTCACATCAATACTGGATAAACATCCTTGGCTCGCATGCCGCTGGCTCCACATTCTTTTTGATCGGTCTAAGACTCTGAGGAGCAAATAGGAGGACACAGCACGAACCGGTCCCTCTCATGGATCCAAGATAGGCTTCAATGCTTCCCTCTGGAGACGAGCAAAGCAACAACTCCATCAATGGTGCCAGCATTGGATACCCCTGTACGTGAAACCTATCAATGAGCTCCAACAAATACAGCCCAGCACCGGCTCAGCTCAATCTGAAACGCACCAAGTTGTTGAATTTCAGATCGTCCCACACCGCTGGCCGTTCCAGGTTCAAACCACAGGTCGTCTCAAACAAATCTTCTTACAACCATCTGGTCGGTCCACGTGGTTCGACCGACACCACTCCCCCCTCCTCGCCCAGGCACCACGCCCAAGCGTTGCACGGGATGCGCCTCCCGCGGCAGCCTGAGCGCGGCAAAGCGGCTGCGCGCGGAGGCGTTCAGCTGCAGGTGCGACGGGAGTGGCAAGCAGCCCTCCTGGGGAGGTGTGGGAGAATGTGGGATTTGGAAGCAGGGAATGCTGGGATCTGGGAGAATCCTGGGATGGAGAAGAGGATGAAGGTGGTGTTGTTTCATTTAAAGCCAAGTGTCATCCTCATATATATATATATATATATATGGGCGCATGTCTGCAAACAAAGGTTGTTGGATGAAAAACGCAAACAAAGTACACCCTGTTTGTGCCCTGGGAGAGATTCCTCAGAAGTTCAATGGGAGCTTCGCACGTGGAGTGGGGATGATCCTTTTCACATCGTTTCACATGCATTAAAAGGTGCAACAAACACTAGTCCGATACAAGGGCACTGCAAAAAAATCAGAAACATCTTTCCTGTGGGACTTTCTGGCAAACCACCCACGACTGGACGAAAGAGATCCCTGATAGCATGGGGGGACCTCGCTTGCTACCCAAACAACCAAAAGGCCAAAAAGGCGCGAATACGAACCACCTGGACAATCCAAGGCCTATAAATCGGTTTCCAAAAACGCCGGAACCAGCTCTGGTTCCAAACAATATCGTCACCGGCCTCCATTCTCCAAATATGTAAGCCATTGGGAAACCCAATGGGAACAAACACCTATACTGTCCTAGAAAATGGATCTGCATCCGAAGGAAGGGAACGCTGATTTCCAACGTGACTCCGTGACACGCAACGGCCAATCCCCACACCCGAAATCCATTCAACAAATATGCGGGGTGACTCACCACCGATCGTGACTCACTGTCCATTCATCAAAAGACGGGTGAAGCGATGAATGACCCGCCCCCTGCCAGCAAACTTCGCGTCGACTTCCAACATTTTAGCACCGACTGTAGGATACCCATCTGGATTCCCCTCCATCAACCGAAACATTTTGGGGAATTCCAATGCGGATTCCTATCATTCGTGGCCGGCCTCTTTGCTGCCCAAGGGGCGGGTTCCATCCAGTGCAGCTGCAAACCGGAGAGCTTTAAGAGTCGGAAGAAAAAGGTCGCATGCCAATGGACTTTCAAGACCTCCGTCGTGCAGTGGCCAGCAAATGGTGTGGGCCGGGGGACAATGGAGAGTAGATGACGCAAAGTGCGTTTCGTGGGCATCGACGGGGCCACCCAGTCGCCGCAAGAGAACCTTTGAAACGTGTTGAAGTTGTAGTCACGGGTGTGTATTGAAGGTGTCTTCACCTGTCGGCGTATTCACCTGTATCCCAACACCTGCATCGAAACACCTGTATTATATGTAGGTGTGCTATAACACTTGCATCACCTGCATCTCTGCACCTGTATGATGATGATGATGATGAGGAGGAGGAGGAGGAGGAGGATGATGAGGATGAGGATGAGGATGAGGATGAGGATGAGGACGAGGACGAGGACGAGGACGATGACGATGATGATGATGATTATTGCGAACGTGATGATGTTGTTGATACCGGAGAAAAATGACTTACATATATATATATATATGTTTTTTTGTGATTGTGCTGCTGATTGTTTAGCTATAATCTGAGAAGAAAAAACTTATTCATATTAATGTGCCATCTGAAACTTCAAAACACTTAATATTCTATATACTGTATACACAGTTATAAAATTGGTTTGTCAAACAAACAATTGTAAAATATATGTAAATAGTTCTTTTCAAACATAAACTGTTTATATATTAGGATATGTGTTCAACATGTGTGTCAAACATACACTATTTGAATATTTTTGGAAAATAACAAAAAACTTTTCATAGGTAGCTGGCTGGCTGATTCCGCCAAGTACCCAGAACGCAGGGTCAATACAATATCTTTACAAATGCAAATCTCTCAGAGTCTGATTGAACACAAAAAGTAGAACTCAGCATAAATCAGCAGTCATTTGGACACCCCAGATTTTCTGATTCTGGAAGGGATTTGGCTATGGGTATGTGATAATGATATATTGTGATAGTGTTGGCTAACTTCATGGTATATTGTGAGAGTGAGAGGATATTTTGTGAACTATTCGCTAATGATGATGTGTTGTGAGGGTGAGGCTAACATGATGCGATGATGCTTGCGATAGTGGTGACACCGATGATGATGCTTATAGGGCATAGGGCATAGGACAAGGTCCCGTTCACTGGGGGCCAGCGCGTGAAAGGGCAAAATGGGTCACACGATACTCACTGGGGCACGTCGAGGGGGTCGTTGTGACTCATTGCAGGGCTGCAGCCGGACTCTCCTCAAGCAGCCTTGAATCGAGCGCTAACACCCTTTTCCCCTCGGCCTGCTCGACTAGAAGCCTCAACAACGCCAGACATGCATGACTCTGGCCGAATCAATCCATACCACTCTGAAAAAGGTTAGAGCAAAACCCCCTGCTCATCTAGTGATCGGGAGATAAGGACAGAAAGGAGCGACTGTTGGAGGTTATCATTGTGCCTGGGCACTGATATAACACATGTGCAGCATAGATATCAAACATCTGGCAAAACGGGCACCTGGAAGGTAACAAGGCAAGGTACGCGAAAAAAAACGCAAGTCTCGCACAAAGTCTGCTGAAGGAAGACCATCAGGGCCGTAAAGGTGTGCACAGCAAATGTCCTACCTTGAGAAGTGCCAGCCCAAAATGATAAAGCTTCAAACAATATTAACAATATATATATATATATATGTATAGCGATTGTGATGATGCTGGTGATGATGCTGATGGTTCGACAGTTGATGGTTAAACACTTGAAGTTGGTAGCCGTTCTTTATGGAGAACCCTTCGCCACCCTTCGCAGGTGCTTTCCGGGAAAAGGAGGTCAAATGGTTTCTAGGAAGATGCACCTGCCCTTCCTCCACAACCCGGGTACTGCGGGCCTTGCAGGCCAGGACGATCGCTAAAGAGTTCTCCTGCCCGGTGGTGGCATGGCATGGCATGGCGAGCGAAAATCGAGTAGCACTAATTAATGAGTCCCACAAATTTATGCAACATACTGCACTCCCGGAGACCAAATGAAAATAAGTGGAACGTAGGCTCCTGAATCCTGGAAGACACATGTTCCTCTACGGTGGGCACATCACTTCCCTGGCGCTACGGTCTTCATCGCTCGTCATCACTCGCTGGTCGGGGGGCTTCAACTCCGAAGGACAAATGTTCGTCAGTGGGTTGAATCATTCCAAGTCAAGTAGAGGTTGATTTATTGATTGATCTCCCTCAGACTCTCGCTCTCTATAAGTAATTAAAAAAATATATATATATACAATTATAATCTCTGAAACATCCCCTCCCCAAAGAAACAAGTTACACAGTAAGTTACACTTAGATAGATATAGATAGATGGGTCGCAAGAGCATAGCGTCAGATGGTTCACCAATGCATTAGCACTTTCAAGGACAACACGGAATGGGAACGGCTTGGGAGCAATACTTAGATGTAGACATGTAGAATCACAAAAAAACACAGAAAAGAAAGTGAAATGATGTCCTCCAGCTGCGTCTTAAATGCGCCCGGAATGACTAAAACAGTGTACGTTTTCAGCACCACGCCACCTCTTCGTTGGCCACTTCTTGGTGGGTGGAGTGGCCCCCTTGCTACCATTGAATTCGTGCTGAGTAAGAGGAAGCCTGGGGGAAGTAGGACATGTGATGTGTTCCGAAATCGGAAGTGACACACACACACACATTCCACGGACGCCAGCGTCCAGGCGGCGGGTCCGTCCTGCATCGCCAGGAGTTGAAAGACCTGTCCACCATAGCCACCGATGTAGACCTGCCCCCGATCGAAGGGAGCGACCCCGTCGTCCTGTGAGCGAGCCGAAGATCGCATCCGTTTCGCAACATGGAGATGGAAGGGCCAGTATGGAGATGGAAGATGGAGATGGATGGAGATGGGCAAAAACCGTGTGATGAGGGAAAAGCTAGTATACAAATCAAAGCAGCTTTTCGATCTCCCAGATCAGTGAAAATCAAAGCCAGGGGGCAACTCCTGGACAACACATCAAGCTTTTGTGTGACTAGGTGCCGCGCAAGAACCGAGGCTTTGGGATTATGCACAATTTCTGGTACCTTTGGGAAAGGACAATGCTTGTGTTCACGGTGACTCATACAGCACAGTACCTGGTATCGCTTGGCTTCTTCCCAACGCCTTCCACATCAACACATGTCACATGTCATCACATGTCATCACATGTCACTGTGCTCTGGCTGAAACAGCCAATTGATTTTAACCTGGACATTTGATGACAGGCCCAGGGAACCCTGTTATATATCCCAGACACTCCGTGTATGCCATATATGCCTACATTGACCCCCCAAACCACCCCAACTGATCGGTAAATATGCCAGTCCCATGGAGTGTCTGGGTATCACTATGATTAGCTGGTAGCCAGACCAGAGCTCGGCTCAGGAGTCCCATCCGGATCCATCTCTCTGCACTTCGGATCCATCTCTTGGGACAAGTTCCTTCATCAAACAGAGACATCCAAATATCGTGCCAAAGGGCTCTGTCTTCTCCAAGAAATCCCCTGGTTCTCCAAAAAAATGGGTTCAACTGGATTGGGGCTGGACCAAAAAGCTCGCGTGCATCAGTGAAACATCAGTGAAAGCCACGCTTTGTACGTCTTTGTGCCTTAAATGGCCTGGATGGCCATTTTGTCTGCGGTCTGTGAAAAGAAACGTTGACAGCACGAGGGTTTTGACGAATGGAAACAAATAATATACTATATACCATGCAATATTTAGTACCCCAAACATCTTCTCCTTGACCACTTTAAGCGTCAAAATGCGTCAAACCTACAGCAACCCCATTCACCAGACGGTCACCGCATGTTGTAATCCCCTGTCTTCTTCTTGATTTCCTGTGCCCCAACCCCTCCCCATCACCGAACCGGTCGCCGGTCCCGCTCCGCGGTCCCCCACACCTGCGCGGCCGCCAAGGCGTGCACGCGCTCGGTCCAGCGCAGCCCGGTGAAATCGAAGACCTCCGCGCCCAGCAGCGCGCCCAGCTCCTGCGCGCCCGGCGAGCTGCAGAGCTGCGGCGACTGGCGACCGTAGATCGAAACGGAAAGGACACCAATCAAAACACCCTGCAGTGCTGCAGAAAAGTGGGGTGTGAGAAAATGGAGAAAGAAGTGAGATGATCCTCAAGAGGTTGGTTTCCCCGTCTCAACTTGGCTTGATGTTGGTCCCCAAGACGTCATCAGCAAGGTATGAATGATCTATCGCCAACTACGCAGTCTCAGGCACGGAATTTGGATGACAAGAAGTTCTTAGTAGTTCTAGCTCCATCGTGCGTTGAGCTCGCGACGCGTGCTTGATGAGCCGTTGGCGGATTCGACTTAACTCCTTGGCATTGGCCCAGGTTCGCCTGGAGGCTTTGGGCCTGGCATCCAGCAGGATCGGAGACCAGCGCTCGCGTGTCGACCAGCGCTCACCCACCTGGGGACGTTCTCTCCCTGTCTGGGGGCGGGTTGAAAGCATGAAGAAACACCCATAGGGTCCATGTAGCTCCTGAGAATGGTCTCGGAGAAAGTACTTCCAAAGAATGGTCGAACTGGAGCCAGAGATTTGTCTATCATGGGTCAAGGTTGGCTCAGTCGCTTTGTTGTAGGAATTATTTCAGGACAAAAGCCTCATTGTCATTGTCATTGGGATGAACCATCCGCAGACACTTGAAACCACCAATCAGTTGAAGTCAATTGACAAGCTGTGCACCCTATAAACCATCGCCAAAATCACAGTGAAAACGTGCTTGAATCCTCCCCTGAAGACTAACAAAGTGCTGTAAAGTTCTTGCAATGTCTTGGAAATAGAGGACACCTTGAACTTGGGCATATCCGTTTGCCATGATCAATGCATGATGGCTAGTTAAAGCCTCTTCAGATCTCTTCAGCAAAGTGATATATGATATATGCTCTTTTGCCAATTGTTACTGGAAATAGGACACACCCACGTTGCTGTACGTAGCTGCTCCGGGTGGAGAAGCATAACTGCAAGTAATGTTTTGGCACCCTAACTGGTGCAGGGTTACCGGAGTTCTTCTTCAACCGGCAGTTTGTTGCTAGCGTTACTGCATCAATATATCTAAAAAATTAAAAACCATAACACACACAAAACAACATGAGAGCTCTTTCACTGGAACTTCCGACTGGGGCTCTTCTACCACTTGTTTGAATGTGGACCTTGTGGGAGGATGTGGGGAGTCGACCTGAAGAGTGGAATTCGTCCTTCTAATTTCAACAACAGGTGTTGAAAGGAGGTGTTGACTCTTGTGACCCAACAACACGATATCATGTGTCAGCAAGGGTTTGCTATCAACAACGACTAGGGTAGCCATTGCTCAAGACGGCATCGCAAAAAAGACTACAGTGACTACATAGACGGTTTTCAACATCAGGAAGTAATTAAGTTGCGGTGCCCAGGACACCAATGGGTCGACACAACATCACAAGACGAGATTCTCCCACTCACTAACATGGAAATGGACAATGGCCGTTTTCAGGGAAGACCATGAAATCCACTAGACACAGGTGGCTTCCACTTCCATAGCTAGTGAGTCAGAGGGTAGATTCTTTCCACCTTTCTTACAAAGACGGCCCTCTTGAGGTCTCAGTTTCTTCGGCCACTTCTCTTTCCGCCCTCCCTCACGTCCGCCGCCCGTCCGCTCCGAGTGGCTTGTGCAGCCAGGTGCCAGTGAGCCCGCACCTGTCAGGTGCCGAGAGTCTCCACAAACAGGGTCCGTTCATGTTCATGTCATGTCCATTTGATGCAGCCCGCTGAAAACCAACCAGCCATTGTATAAAGGAAAACAGTCGGACTCAGGGTGGGTCCCATGTGAGCTTTCGGACGTGTACATGTATACCCCAGGGGTCACAAAGGGGTGCTATCCATGGAGATTAGGGGTGCCCAGCTTCTCCACGCACTTGCGGACTAAACACCTCCCCGTCTTGTGACCCCTGGTCTATTTAGGGTTCGTTCTCCCAGGGTTTGATACGCATGTCGCCACTTCCATGTGAGTCACATCGAATGGCGGAGCCTCGGGGACCTGCCGAGACTCGTCGGTCGGAAGCGGGATTCATAAACCGGGTCCTCCCACCCCATTTGAACACCCTCTTCAGGGTTATGGAGGGTTGATGAATCAAGAGTCGACAGAGTGAAAATAGAGCCTATAGACTATAGAGTCAATCATCGCCATTTCAACATGCTGAGATTCTGAGAAGACGGTGCACCTCATGGATCCAGTCGTGCGCACTCCGCACGACTGGAAGGCGTGCCAAACAACCAGCCCACGGCGATGTGGATAGCTTGGAGAATCGAGACATGCTTGACATGGATTCCGCTGGGTCACTCGGTCAAACGGTCAACGGCTTCATACTGCACTCCGCAACGACTCGCCGTCTGAAAAAGGCATACAAATGCACACATGAGTCACATGAGGTACTGTCAAAATGTATTAGGTGCGGCTATGGCATCGTCAGATTTGTGGGTTCCCTATTGTTTGACTATGTGTTGGATTGTTAAAAGGGTATCGTTTTGTAGCATGTTCTCTGTGAGTCCCCTATCATTCGCCAGGGTTTGGAGCATGTCAGCATATGTCAGCAAATGAACCAACGCTCTTGCGAAAACGTAAGCATTGGACATGTTGAAATGAAACAAATTCCAATCTAATCATCTATTAACTGAGAAACCATTGAAAAAGGCCGATTGAACAGTACCGTCACCGCTCCGATGGAACGTCAACGCACCCTCCCCCTTCCCCCAAACTCAGTCTCTCGAAAATGGTCTTCACCCGGCCCTCTGGTCGCCTGTCTGAAGGTGCCTTCGGGCGAATAACGTGCCCCGGCCGCCCCTTGCACCAGCAAAGCCTGCGATGTACAGCGGGGCGGCCGGGGTGGGTACTGGGCCCAGGGGTGGGTAGGGTGAGGTTTCTTCCAAAAAACCAGGACACAGCAATCTGAACTTAGGATGCATGTTCTAATTAGGTCCTGTCGGGCGGTCCAAGCAGGGTTCCTTGGAACTGCTGAGGGACGACCAATGAAGCCCTAGGCCTCTGTTTCATGGGCAAGGGGGTCTTAACTATCTTGTGAGGATATATGGGCCAGGAGGTTTAGGGCCCTAGGGAAGAGCAGTTAGTTCATTGATTGCACAGGACATCGACGGCTTCATCATCGTCGAATTGGGCCCTGGTCGTGCAGGTATCGTGTTGGCCCCCGCCTTGGGTCGAATGAACCCAGGACCCTACCAGAACCATCCTCAAACAGGGTGTCCAGTGGGTTTCGCCCACAAGCATTGTGAGGGCAGTCTATTGGAGACCCCGGGTCCGGGGTACAAACCCCCGCTCCGGGGTGAATGCTGATCTCATGCCCCCCTCCACATCCTATCCTCCTCTGAAGAGGCCTGGGGGAGTGACAAATCCATCAGGCCGCATGACCGAGGCGACCCGGCGACCCACGTAGCCCTCGTAGCTCGGCACCTCGTAGCTCTCCTGGCGCTGAAAGGGGTGGGCGCTCACGATGGCGGCCTCAAAGCCTCGACAGGAACGGCCCGGACCCCGGAAAAGGGCACCCAAAACGGCCCGGACGGAACCGAGTTTCGGAGGTACGACTGGAAGCCCCAACGGAGTCCGGGGATGAACAAGGTATGGATTCCTGGGGGCCAAAGACGGGAAAAGACGATGAACATGGATGAAACATGGATGAAAGAATGTCAGTGGGATGAATCCGACCTGATTGGATTGCGCAAATGTGTTTTTTCACCTCCACACCTGCGGAAGGGGAAAAAACGGATCACCTCGGATGGTTGCTTGACATGCCTCGTGTGTTGCATGGAAGGTAGCTCATTGAAGCTTGGCAACATCCGATAAGAATCTCTTCACAAACAGAAACAACATCAATGTTGAACCAACAACCGACCAGGAAGTGACATATTTAGTGTTGAATGTGACAGTGCAGCAAATTATCAATGCAACACAGCTAAACCTGAATTATATACCACAAAAAATAACGCAGGGATTCCTGAAATTCCTGACACCAATTCCTAAGACAACTTGTCTTCTTGACTGTCAAGCTGTAGATAGCAAAACATCCCTTGGAAGTCCAAACCTCGGTGCAAGAAGCACCCATGCTGTCCCAAAGCTTTCCAAAAGCATCTGCTTGGGTTTTGCCAGCTTGGCCTCCAGACTGGTCAAGACCCCTTTCACAAGTCTTTCATCTTCCCCATGGATTTCGAGAAGAAGCACCCTCGTCCTTCCTCTCAGAACCTCCAAACGGACGTTTCGGTCGTGGTCCGTGCGTTCTTCCGGAGCCCGAGTGAAGCGCTGAACCAGCGGCAGTGGGTCTCATCCACAGCCATGAAGGTGGTGGGCGACTCAAAGATGCTGCGGATGAAGTCCTACGAATGGCTCCGACTCGCTTCCAGTGAGATGTTTCTCCGTAGGTTTCGAGTGAGAGTGTTGTCATTGTGGCTTCGGATCCGTTTTACTCCGTATGCCGTGTCTACACGTGGCCCGGGGACTCTTGTTCAGCCCAGTAGAGGAACACGATGATACTGTATGTAGACTTTCACTATGGGCCACGGGCATTGCAACTCTTGCAAGTTTTGTCGTAAGCTTTTGTCAAATTCGACCTCCATTCTCGCAGCCTCGCAGCCTGTGGTCCAAGCATGTCAAAGCATTCCTGGAGTCTTTCTTGTCAAGATCCGACCCTCTGCACTCCTCGCCAGGCCAGGTGTTCAAACAATCTTGATGCTTGAAGTTGAATCCCTGCCACCTCCTCAGCTACCAGCTACCAGCTTGGCCTGAGCTTACGCAACTTCTCCACTTGCATCATCCCCGATGCTTCGCCTTCCCTGTGGATGATTTTTGCGCCTTCTCACGCACCAAGGTCTCCGATTCATGTGGCCCAAAGAACCTCCGCCACTGAGTCCCTCATCCGCACATGCAGCAGGACCCCAAGGCCGCACATCCAACGTTAAGCGTTCTGCTTTACCTCGTGCAAACAGTTCCTCTACCTACATGTGGCATGCTGCCTCTCAACAAGGTAGAGTCAGCACTCCCAGCTCCAGCCGGATGGGGACCATGGGGATGGGTCGTATGTCAGTGCATTCAACTGACTGACTTGAAGGTCTCATGCCATGTGCTTCAAACCTCGGCACTGTCTGGCGTCTGGCGTCTACCAAGACCTTCGGACTTTGAAAGAGCGCTGTGGTGTGGACTTTCTAGCAGGGGAGGTTCAAGAAGTAGATGGCACAAGTTACCCCCCAAGTTCGGTGGTTTTGAAGTGGATCCCTATTTAAGATATCTTTGGGTGCCAGTGCCATCGAACCTATGACACCACTGTACTGTACTTCCTTTTTCGATCTTTGAATCTTCCTTATCGGTCGTGGCCTTGCCCTCATGGTACAGGTGCTGAGAATAGCTTTGGAGCACGTCCGGGCTCAATCCGCGCTTGTTGCGTGTGGGGTTGTGTGCTGAGCACACGAACGCGAGGCGACTCTCGTCTTTACGAAAAACTCACTTGGTATGAACATGTACCTGGACCTGAAAAAGGGGTGTCCTGTCTGGAGATCCCTAGGTAGTGGGCCGGGGCTTCCATTGGGCACCCCTTTGAAGGGTCCTGGTATGAACCATCTACTCTTGAATCGCTTCCAAGGCTTCGAAATCGTGGCGAAACGGAGGTACAAGCACCAAGAGCCCTCCTCTCGCCGTCCAACGCTTGTTCTTGATGCTTTGCCGCAAAACACCCCCCAACCCCCCAGCAACCCGTGGACGCCCCGCGCTCCGACCCGTGCGTGTGCCGTGTGCCGTGTGCCGTCCCGTGCCGCTCTCTTCCACGAGCGCCAGCGACGGTGTCCTCCTCAAAGCGCTTCACGTCGTAGGCGCCGAGGTTACTCTGCAAGTTGGCCACGGTGCGTTCCACGGGCCTCGGTGACGAGGCGGTCCACGACGGTCTAGGCTCTATGCATAAGGCGGGGGCGGTCTCTGTCTAGCAAAGCCGACCAATTGTCCACCGGGGAGAAGCCGACCGTGTTCCACCGGTTTTGGGGGATTAAAACGAAGACAACACTGACTATACACATGATTTAAAACAGGTAATATATAAATGTTGCATGTTAATGAACATGAACTATGGCATTCTGCAATATTGTTCATCGGATGCCGCGAAGGAACAACAACAGGTTCTTACATCGGGACACGTTTCTCTTTTTTTGTCTTTCGCATGTACCCGAAGTATCATAAAGTACCCGTATATACCCCACTTGTGTGGAAGGGCTTGGACAGTGACCCCGTCAGTTGGCTTTGATAACGAAAAAACCATTTGTGTCCTCTAGAACGGTTAAATGAATCAACATGAGTCAACCCTACCGGTGTCCCTGAACCAACTCGGACAACGAGACTGCCCAGGAGGCCGTATGGTGGAAAAACGGCACCTTGCGTCCTCGATGTACTAAAGTCAGGGTATCCAGAACACCTGGCTTTGTACTCCAATATCGCCCTTGGAAAAATCTGTGATAAAGAATGTTTTGGTAACCTGGTAATATGTAAAATGCATCAAGACATCACATGCCAGGACACGACCCACCAAAGGTGGTTAATCAAGAATCAAGACCCCTTCGCCTCAAAAAAAGGGGTCCACAAACGGACACCCCCAAGTGCTGGGCCCCGGTAACATCCACCAAACTCATGCTTCACCCCTTTTGATCCTTCTCCTGCTTTTTCATCCGTCTGAGTGGCAAATTACGAGTCTGCAGGAAGGCCACGAGATCAATCAGCATATCCTCGGTGCATTGGGATAGGACCGAAGCTCCCAGCTCCCCTGCCAGTTGTCCCGACAAAGTTTCAAGGATTATCCACTGACTGGGTAGGCATTGGACCCAGAATTGGAAGAAACCAGTGAAACCCGACTGGGTACCTCAACTGTGCTCATCCACTGTATAAGCATTAGCCCCAGAATTGGAACTGGTTGAACAACTACTGGTTGAACATGTTAACAATGATTTTAAAGCATTGGCACTCTAACAAGAGCTACTGCTTGTTGAACCACTTCTGGTTGAACCACTGTAACAAGAGCTCCCGAGGTTGAAAAAAGTCTTGCTTGAATTGAAGTATATCCACTCTCAGTAACTCATGTCCATCCTTTGTACACTCTGCAGGCTGGTTAAACAGCGCTTGCCAGTGCGGATTTACTCCTACTGTACAATCATTGATGCCTGTCGGGCGACAAAACATGTAAGATGTATAAACTATAATCATTATCCTCTACTCGGGACCATCCTGTCTGGGTGTCTAGTGGTTTCGCCCACAAGTCTTGTAGTCTATTGGAGACCCCTAGGATGGTGCAGGTACATATTAAGCCTTACACTCTGACGAACACATCACACGGAAGTGGATGGCATGGCCCCCTTTCAAGACCATCTTCCTCTACAAGCAGGTGGTTTTCCTCTACACCTCCGACTTGAAAACCTCCTCACTTCTCCGCTTTCCCTGCATTCCCCCGAGTCTCATCCACCAGGAAGTGACCAATGTTCGCACAGTCCGGACACCGCTGACCTGGGGCACCGGCGGAAGGCACCAGACTCCGCAGCTCTTTCAGCAGCGCTTGTTTCTCACCAAAAGACTTGATGTGGCATGATGACCTCTAAAGCCTATAGCTTCCATCTGTGCCACTGTGGGACAGTAACTATCACAGCTTCCTATCACTGCTGACCTCTAGCACATATATAGCTGATCACCCACTGCTATAAAGCCTACAGCAAACCTATATGGGGGTCTCAGGATGTTTCAGGGGTGAAGCCTGGTGCCTGTTCACGCTTGAAGGGATCACCCTACAGCTAAACACAATGTCACAATGTCTGTCCAATCACCACCGAACTGAACTACAGTATGTGATGTCTAAACAATAGAAACAATTCTCTTATTGGGGTCATGCTTTCTTCCCGTCGAACACCTAAACAATCTTAATCACATGAGCGAACACCCATTGGAAGAGAGTTGCAATCCTCAGAGAGAAACAATCACTTACTCAAACCACCACTGCCAACCCAGCCAACTCAAACATACTTACAAAACACATCCGGACAACGAGGTTGCAAACGCCCTTCGGGAAACAATTTGGTTTAGAATGGTTTAGGGACTTCCCCAAAGCCCGTCAAATTGAACCAAACATCCAAAATGTTCACCCCTCCAACAAAACGCAAAAAGAAACGAAACGTCTCCGCAGCACTGTGACTCTGCAGCAAATCATTTGAAAGGAACTCTGTGAGTGTCCATCGTGCACGAAGCGCGTGAGGCCAGGCCAGTGCTCCTCGGCATTCTCAAGGATCTCGAGGAACTCCGATAGCCGAACGCCACGAGCTATGAACCTCCAAGAAGGTTTTTTGGTCGCGAAGGCAGGAAGTTCGAGGTTGGAGAGGTAGACTATGTGCCCTATAGGTTTCCTGGCCATTGATCCCTAAAGCTCCAGCCGTACCTCCGTTCGAAGATGGTTGGGGTGGGTGCCACGGGGGGTCTGTGCCCGAACTGGGCCAAGGCGCCCAGCAGTACGGCATTTAATGGCTGCTTACCTAACAACCATCCCAAACACTCCATGTATGCCATACATGGAGTGTCTGGGCATTGTTTACTTATATCTTCTAACTCACATACAACTTACAACCATCTGTGCACTAATTAAGGGTTTTAGACTATAGCTTTGCACTAAGGGTTTTTAGACTACAGCACCAGGTCAACCTTTCTTGTATTGGTCTTGGCACGTGCATATGCGTTTAGTGGACCATTGCCTTGGCGATCTTGGTATAGAACGGAGAGAATAAGGAACAATGAGTACAGAAGAAACAAAGAAAATAGAAAAAACAAGGTACAAAACTGGAACACACATGAATTAAACACAACGAAAATGGGAACGCAAACAAAGTAATTAAAAGAACACACATATAATGACAATCCGCCGCCCCCGGTCTAGGTCGATGAACGTGAGCGCGTTGACGACTGTTGCGGGGTGGGTGTCTTTCCGTGTTCCGCGGTGGGCGAGGTCGCGCTGCCGTCACATTGACAAAACATATACCCTAAGAGCATCCTTGCTCCGTTCGTAGCGATGCCAGGAGCCCAGAGCCCCGTTCGTAGCGTCCTTGCTCTAAACATGCGCCCTTTTCATTGACAAAACTGCCCCGTTCGAGGCGTCCAGTGTCCTAGAAGTTCTCAACCAGCTTCTTCGACCGAACTGTGGAGTCGAAATACAGTTGGCCGAACAAGCCCAAGCCTGAACTCGTGACCGAACCGGGGATCAAGTGACCGGTCACGAGTTCGGAAGATCCAGGAACATGTGCCCCTTTGGTCCAGGACATGTCTACTTTTTTCAAAGTCTTTGTCTACACCATCAAAAAATGTATCCCAGACACTCCATGTATGGCATATTTACCTACATTGGGGTGGTGGTTTGGGGGGTCAAGTCTGGGCGGCAGTCCGTCCTGGCAGTCCCAGACTCGTCGTGTCTGTCCATTGGACGGCTTGGGAACTGTCGGAATCGGGTCTGGCTATGCGTCGGTCGCTACGGGTGAGATGGTGAGATGGGGGCAGAGGGCATCGTTGGATCGAAGGCCCGGGTAGAAGAGACCGGAACCGGGCTTGGCGACCAGTGCATGGACCTGCAAGGAAGATCCTCTTTTCAGGTTCCATGTGAATTTTCCGGGGTGTATCTGGTTTGTGGTTCATTTGACCTGAAGTGCTCGTTGAACAAACAAAAACTTTACCCGATCCCAGCTTCCATGGTCACCCCAAATGCTCGAAAGCTTGATCGTATAGGCAATGCGTATCCTTTGGGCAGAACTCTATTACACCACGCTTTTCGCCACGCTTTTCGTGCCGCTTTTCGCGCCGCTTCGGCCTGTGCGACACATCCCAAAAGTCCCGCAGCCGCTGACGGGACTCACTCTCCTGCCGGACTGGACGTCTCGTCTCGGCGCACCGAACCGTCCCGGAGCTGGCATCGGGTGGTGACGGGGTTCGGCAAGTGGTTGGAGGGTCTGTGAGAAAACTCCTGAAATGATACCCTAGGGCTGCAAGGACCTCCTGAGAAGATGGTTTGGGTGGGTGCCAGAAAACAAACACATCTAAACACAAAACAAGGAGTGGCCGCCAGCACTGAACCTGTGCTTTCCAGCCACCACCATCCGAGCAGTGCGCCAGCTAAAGACCCATACAGTTGGTGGAGAGACTTTAGGCGATTTGTATTACACTGGGTGCAGATCACTTGGGAGTTAAGGTGTCAAATGACATAAATGGATCTGGAACTGCGACAAGGGGACCTTCTTGATGTGTGACTGGTGTCAACCCCAAACCCTAAACCATGTTGGCAAGCCAGAGTGTACATCAATGAGGAAGAAACATGTGGAACGTGATGGAACGTGAATGAAAAGTGACTAAAGTGACACTACTGTACCCATCCATCCAACTGCCCCCCTGGCCGCCCCCCCATCAGCCTCTCCTCCTGCTCCTCGACGAAGATCAGCTCCAGTCTCCGACCCGTCAGGATGGAGGCAGGGATGTAAGGCGAGTGGAAGTCGGTGGCTGTGCTGCGATCGCGCACGCAGAAGTGCTCCAGCTTCCTGAGCTAGAGCCAAGCGGGTTAGGAAAGCCACACACGTCCTAGCCTAGGAGAGGTGCAGGGGAACGCAAGAACTCACGCCAGCATCCAGTATGTACTCCCAACTGGGGCCTATTGGCTAGGACAATTGACTCCACGTATTGTCTGCTTACCTGTAGTAGGTGGGTCTTTGAGTGACCTGGGTGGAGACTAGTGTTGTCACTAAGAAGGGAAACTGGCGAAGCCCACCCTAGTCGGTCCTTTCAAATCTGAACCTCCATGGTTTCGCATCAACGTTCTTCAAGTCCCCCACTTGGCGAGTTTCGCATCAACGTGTCAGTCTTGCCCAGTCTTGCATCATCCAAGTCTCATGATGGAGTTCTGCAATTCCCCAGCTCCATCCAAAATGGGGCTAGCCCTGCTCCTCCTCAGTCATGACGGGCTCAACTCGCTCGCGTGGTCGGCCCGCACTTCGCCCAGCGTCTTGCCGATGGACATTTCTCACTCTCCCATACACTCCATGTATGGAATATATGCTTATACATTGACCCCCCTGGCACCACCCCTGGCCTGATCGGCAGTCCGACATGGCAGTCCCATGGAGCGTTGGGGTCTTATACACAGGATGAGTCACGATCAGACACCATCAAAGGTCCATGAGAGTGGAGATGAGTGGAGTGCAGAGTCCAAAAGGTTTATCAACAAAAGAGGACGACTGCTTTCATGTCAAAGGCTTAAGATGTATGACTCGCACTCACCAAACCAACCCCTTTGAAGCTTCCATTCTCGGGCGCTGCCAACCACTGCCAAGCTGCTTGGTCCGAGTCGCTCGGCTCAGGTTGCGGAGGCGTTGCAGCTCCCAACGAGACAAGTGCGGTAGCGCAGCAGTGCTTAAATGCTGATTCCAGGACTTCACCAAAGCCTCAGTCTGTGAGCCGAAACAGACTGGCCAGCAGTACGGGACGGAGTCAACAGAAGTGATTTGGAAGGTGTACTCAGCCAACACCTAGGGCTCCTGGCCCACATCCGCAGAAGGTAGTTAGACCCCTCAAACCCACTCCAAACCACCTTCGAAACGGAGGTGGTTGGAGCCCTGGGAATGCCAAAGTTTGGAACTTCTTTGGGCCTCCACGGCCGAATGATTCAACAGAATTCAGAAAGCTGGGGATCCAAACAGCTTCTCAAGTGGTCCGCAGGAAAGAACATCACACACTCCGTTTGAAAAGCACCTTCACTTCCGGAACTTTCGTAGGTAGGAAACCCCTTCCTGCCTTATGACAGCAATGTCTTTGAATTGCTTTGACCGAGCACGGAGGAAGCCCCGAAAAATCGATCGAAGAAACACATGCTTGGATGTCACGGATGCGCAGTGTCGCTTGAAACCTGGAATTGCCACAGGAAAAAGACACGATAGGCTGATAGGCTGTGAACACAAATGAGAACAAACCCAACAAGCTCGGAAAAAGCACTTCACATCCCCGGTTCCTGAAGTGTCGAACTTGCACCTCCCACAGGGGGTTTGGACGTTTGGCCCTGCCAGTTCCCAACGCAACCCAGTTCGGCAGGATGATCTCCCCAACAACAACCCAACGAGATTTGTTCACAGCAAAGGAATTAACGCAATAGACCAAATGTGGAAGATGTGCGGTGTAGTTTCAAAACAAATTTTGTGAACTGAGAACCAGCTGAGTTTTGACTTCAGAAAGTGGGGAACTTCATGTCTTTGGCAGTCGAAGCTAGGGATGGTGAAAGTTGCAAAATGACAACTGCTCAGCAAATCAAGAGGTTCGTGATAGTGCTGCTGCATCCTTGGTCACACACGAGAAACGGATACAGTAGAAATGGTGCGAACTGCAAACTCGGCCGTTTGGGCAGCTTTGAGTTCCAACTGATGGAAAGCATCTTCCAAAGTGATGGGAGCCATCTGTTCATGGATGTTGAACTAACAAAAAGGGCTGTTGAACAAACACACACACAAACAAACAAACAAACAAAACCAAACCAAACCAAAACAAAACAAAACAAACAAAATAAAACATCCCTCAACATCTTCAAAAGCTACTGCCAGGCCACAGGTGCCTCAGCTGTTCCAGCTGCTCACGCTCCGAGGAGCGCCCTCGCCGCTCCAGCCGTGCCGCGCGTTGCGCCTGAGCCTCTTGCCGTGCCAGGCGCTGAGAGGCGGAAATCAAGAGATGCGCTGTAGAGCTCTTGTGGTCCTGAGTGTTTAGTCCCCAAGTGAGTGGAGTAGCTGGGCACCCCTAATGCCTAACCTCCATGGATAGCACCCCGTCTTGTGACTCCTGGTGTATGTGTAATATATATATATATCTCTCTCTCTCTCTCTCCCTCGCTCTCGCTCTCGCTCTCGCTCGCTCAGTTGCCGAAACAAATCGAAAGCCACCAAGTTTGGCCAGGTTAGGAGGGCCAGAGAATCATCCGGAAGAGGTGTGTTTTTTCTATCTTGTTCTTCAAAAGCTGCTGATCTAAGGGCAACTGTGGCCATTCATTCACCAAGAAATTGGTTGCGCAAAGTAAACAATATATGCAGTCTGGGAAATGATCAAGAAAAAAAGACTCTTTGAGATATGTTTCCGGCTCAATGGCTTAGTGAGACTGACGTGTTACTCGTGGCATGTTGTGGCTTCATTCCGTGGCTTTGGTAAAGTGGGTATTTGTGCTACTCTTGGGCCTCTAGCAGTGCAACCAATTGCTTTCAACTTGAGAGCTTGGTGAACTTCTCCACCAAAGGCTGTCAGTGTGCGATCTTAACATCGCCCCGGCTTGATGCGATGTGGTTTTTGAGTAAATGCTCAAGACCAGCACTCAAAGGAACAACCTGTTACTTCGAGCGATGGCACGAGCAAATTCCTTGTGGAACATGTTTGAACTGGTGGGATAAGAGTTGTCCGGGCCAAGCCATCCTGCCACCATGGCCACTCCGCAGCGAGGAAACGAGAGAAACAACAGGCCAACTCTATAGGGAACATACCAAAAGGCTAACCCCATATGCAACTACTCAGGGCAGCGACTACTCCCATTTCAAGTCCAAGAAGGAAGTGAGCAATCTCGTTTTGCACGTGCTCAAACGAAGCACATATGATTTATGTAGACTCTTGATGAGTCCTATGAAGAGTTTTTTCAATCCAAATGGGATGGGTCATGAACATCAAAGAGTCTACGACATGTGTGACTTCTTCTCCAGCTCTAACCGCCGCTCTCAGCCTCTCAGCTCAGCTGCTCGATAGTCCCACCGTCCGAAGCTCGTGGCGGAGCCCTGCCGCAGCACGTGCGCGTAGACGCGGAGAAAGCCCAGGAGTCGGCCGTGAATCAGTACGCCCTGCCCGGCCGTGCCCTGGCCACTGAGAGTGGGACGTGGGAGCGTCGGGGGACAGTGGGACAAGGCGGACAATAGGCATCGAAAATGGATCTGCACTGAAAAACACCTATAAGTTATAAGGGTTTTACAGAATGCCAACTTCCCAAGAATCCTGGCAAGGATTAGTGGTCAGGTTTTGTCGGATGTTTGAGATGCTCTAGTTCTCCAGATCAGGCAGAAAAAACAAACAACTGCCTCAAGATGCGTGGCTTTGTCTTCCACAGTGGTGTTCATGGAATTCTTGCCAATAGTTTGTCAACTTCGCCAGAATAGATCCTCCACGTATATATTTTGATGGGTAGGCTCCTGAAGGTCCATCAAACCCCATTAGGTCCATCCAGAGTCGACTACCCTCCCCTGCGGCTGAACATCTAGCCTTCTGGTCGGTGAAAAGCTGCCCAAAAAAGACCCTTAGGTCCTAAGAGTCTTCATCGCCTGCCCAAAGAGTTCACCAGCTCGCAAAACTGTTGGGGTGCGGATCCATGGAGTTTGGAGTGATGGGCAGCTTCGGGCTTCGGGGTCCAAAAAGCTGCCCATCACTCTGCCTTGACCAAGCTCTGAACTCGCGTCAGGGGAGCCGGTCCCTGAAACCATCAGACGAAGAAGGCACCAATGATGAAGTCGATCCAGCCGAAAACCCATCCAGACCCATCCGCTTCCCTCCCTCGGCATCGACAAGCGCAAGGAGACATCCACAAAGGGATCTTGTGGAGGTTCTTCTGAAACCAAAATCTGGGATGCCATAAGGGATCCTGAAACCAAAATGATCCAGTTCTGGCACCTCATCAGTCATGAGTAGTCTCCTTGCGTCCTCCACTCTCTACCAGGCAATTTCAGATGGCGCAAACCCTTACAGTAGACCATTCAACCTCCTCAATCCTATCATCGTGATGACTTGTGCCACCACCTGGAAGTCCCAGGAGGAATTTATATGTAAATCCATTTTTCTCTACATATTTGCAGTGTTTGTAGGCAGCTCAGACCGAACTGCTCTGAAAACCTGCAGTAACTCCCTATGTCGTATCAATTTGCTTCGCCATCCTTACGCAAACCAGATTTTGGCTTGGACGAGCTCCGCAAGTCAGGCAAGAAAGTCGCGCCTGACTTAAGCCCGTTCCGCGCCCAGAATTGGCAGAAGTCAGCTTACCAGCAGAGGTTGAAGAACCCGAATTATAGACTATCCTATAGGTACCCCCTTCCTATAAGGTCACTTATGACCTCTGTAGGTACGCAGGGTCTATTCTCCTTGCAGCAAGGCTATAGGTTTTGAGAAGTGACTGCTAGGATCTTGCTGTCGCTTGCGCAAGAAGCGGCTTGCGTATACTCAGTGCCTGACAACCTCTCCTCCAAAGGTTCGTTTTGGCAATCGCATCGATGAAGCTTTGAACAGCTTCTGGCCGGAGAACTTTCGGGTAACCAGCTGTTCGTCTGCTTGGGGCCCAGCCTGCTCCCATGATGGGCTACTGGTCACTTCGGACGAGGGCGCTAACGCCATCCTTACGCAACTGCTTACGCGTAGCTTACGCGCAATATCCTTCTGTGCAAACACCAGGTGTCACAGCGACCCAAACTTTGTGACGTTCATTCCAAACAGGTTGGAGCATTTTGGCCAACACATTGCTTGATGTGGCAAGAGGCGGGCCAACCGCCTGGACAGGGATGGGTCTCCTTCCTCATATTCCTGTCTGAGATAAAAGCGGCTAGGTTTAACCTTTGATTTAACTAAAGGTTCATATTCCCCCAAATGCTTACGCAACCTTCCGGTGACCGCCGCGAACAACGCCGGTCCGGCGGGTCCCGCGCGCGAATGCGGTCACCTGGTGTGGCGAAAGCTGCAAGAGCTCAGAGCAGCGAGGCTCGCCTGCGGTGCCCATGAGGCATACCTGAGACCATGCGAGCGATTGGATAGACAGTAGGTGCTCCCGAAGCCTGCAATTCGGTCCGCGAGGTACAATGAATCACGTGCTTCCACACCAGAAACACCTTTCACATCCTTTCACATCTTTACGAATTACGCCCAATGCTGGGAAACAAAACCTCTTGGAAGCTGATATTCACTGAAGCAAGTCCCAGCTTTTGAGGGTCGGGGCAAACACACTCTACTGAAAAGCACCATGAGTCCATCAATCCCGAAAGACCACGGTCCTCATGCGCACCGATCCCTTGGAACGGGCGACCAGCCTCGCTTTATGGGGAGGATCCGGGAGCACTTTCCCAGCTTGGCCGGACTGGACGTGAAGCAGGTGGACTTTGGAGGGAAGCAAGGCCTGGCGGCCGACTGTGGGCCATGTCTGTGGCTACCAACCCCAAAACTGGAGGAAAATCCCACTCTTTCCCAAAGCCGGGGATCCAAGGGATCCCCAACCCAACCGTTGGAGAACGAAGCCGTTTCTGGAGCCTGTGGTGAAGCGGTGAAGGGTGTCGTCTGAAGCGATGGGGCGGAGTGATCGAAGCGTCACCCTGACTGGACCCAGACACTCCATGTATGCCATAGATGCCTACATTGGGGTGGTTTGAGGGGTCAATGTAGACATATATGGCATACATGGAGTGTCTGGGGGATGGTCTTTTCCATGTCTCTCGGTGCCAGGAGATGCCATGATCTGAATCTTCGTTTCCAGGATGCTAAGTAGGCAGCTGCAGGCAAATCTTTAGAGGAACAAATGCCAGGCATGCAAGCGACCACGCTGAGCGGTTCTTCCGGCCAAATGGACTCCTGCTTTGTCTCGGCCCATGTCGCAAACCTCCTGGGAGATGCGGCTCGCCGCGAGAAAGAGCGAGGGACGAGTACGTGTGAATATTCCTCAAATGGACCTTTCAGTTGGCTATAAATGAAAGGGTGGCGGGTGCAAATGAGCCGTGCGGGAATCAGCTGTTGCCTCAGGCAGCGCTGAAAATCACAAAACAAAGTCTCTATGCATCCCTTGTAAAGGAAAATAGACCTCTCTACCCAGGTTGGGAGGTTCGCCTATCGAAATAGTTATGTATATACACCCAAAATGGTAAAACAACAACAACAACAACAACAACAACAACAACAACAACAACAACATGACAGCAGAAAACACACAAACACGACCTGTCTCGAACTCGATTGTTTGACCGATTACGCCAGGTCAGGGGTCAATGATATGTTTGTATCATACAAGGAGCGGTTGTGTGCAGGATCTCCACATTCCTCGTGAACACATGTGTACGAGAATCTCTGTCATCCTCTCATGGCAAATGCTGGGAGCATCAGCGAAGAAGATCCGCAAGTCACCGACTCAGTTCAACAACCTTATAAGTGTTGATATTTCCTGACTGTCCAAGGGGCATATGAATGCATTGGAGCACCAAGTTGGCACCAAGACACATCTCGAAACATCATTTCTCACAGAGGCCTTCTCACCATCCCACAACCTATCCCAAACACCCCATGGGACTGCCATATATGCCTACCTTGACCCCCTGGCACCACCCCTGGCCGTTTCTCGGTCAATATGCCAGTCCCGTGTCTGGGTCTAGTCTCAGTGCCTCACCCAGCGAATGTCGGGGTACCTTCTAATGTCAAGTTACGATTAATAAATCCTCCCCTAGTTAATCCGAAGACACAAACCCACCAGAAATTGCCCAGATTATATGATCTATATGCCTTACCCGTCCTTCCGTCCCGATCGTGGCGTCACCAAGAGTTTCTCCCGGTGGCACCGCACGAGGACATGTCGTGCATCCAGGCTACGCTTGGACCTCCTCCTGGTCGAAGCTGAGAGCAATCTCATAGAGTGTCGAGAAGAACGCATTCTTCCTCCGGGTGCAAATGTGTGCTGACTCCGATGACCTCCTTTCAGGCCACCGCTTGGGAGCTTACCACAAGGTTCCGCCCCAAACGGCATTTTTTTGGTCGGCTGCTGTGGCACAAGAAGTTGATAGAACACACCAACACCCCAAAAATAGAACTTGCATGAAATTGCCAATCGTTTCAAAAACCAGCCACCTGATGGGTGTCCAATAACTAGCCACTACTTGGGATCTCCATGGGAGACCCGTTGGATGGCCATGACATGTGCTTCTTTTGTGGATTTGCTGATTCCAATGCGCTGGTTGAATGAGAGATTTTGAGCAGCGCATGCTACCAAAAGCGCTCAGTGAGCCAGAAAAGTAACAACCATATAGGCTTACTGGCTACCTACAAATCTGCCGTGTAAATGAACGACGCCAGGTGTGTGTGTGTGTAACCCTTGGAGTCATAGGGATCCGTCAGGATTAGTTTTCATTTTACATTATGGCAGGGGGGCAATGAACACTTTGGAAGGCATTGCCCAACGAAGACCCTTCCATCGTGTTGTGATATTCCTGAGGGACGCCTCGGGAACGTACCTGCTTTTTCCTTTTCCATTTTGAATGGCGAGAGGCTAAGCCAAGAACTTCACGACACGGTTTTGTTCAGAGCTTCGGTTCACTTTCTGCAGATGTGTTCGACTCGCTCGCCGCTTTCGACCTTACGCTTTTGGCCTCACTTCCTCTTCCAGACCCCCAGGCTCCGAGGGTCCTTACTGGTACTCTTAGGAATTGGAACCCTAGGCCGGCGTGTGGCACCGCATTCAGTTCAGTACACAATATCTCAAGTGTGTTTGGCTTCGTGCCAACCCGGGATGAGCCCGCAGAGTGCCTCCCGTGGACCCGTTGAACGGGTGTATGTCTCTCTCTCCCTTGCTTTGGAGAGGTAGGTGTCCAGAGCGGACAGCGGGTGGCCTCGGCCGTACGTCCGATGATTTTTGTCCCATCTTTGGAATTCCAAGTTGGCTCATGCCTTCACGTGACCGCAGCGGTCCAAGCTGGCTTAACGCCTCAACGTGGTCAGAGCGACCGAAGTACGTATGAGGTTCATTGGAACCTGTCGAGCACTTAGCCCCCCCTTCTCCCCCTTCCCTCCCCCGTTCTTTCTTTGCTTTCTAAAACTTTCCTGAATGCAATACTCAGGATCACCCCTCTCTTTCTTGGGTGTGTCCCTGGACGATTGTTCGTAGCTGGGAACACCTTCCTTTCCTCTCCCTTTCTCTCCCTCTCTCTTTCTTTCCTTCTCTCTTTCCTCTCTTCTCCCTCTTCCATGGGTGTCCCTGGATGCTTCGTCATAGCTGGGAGCCCTTCTTTTTGGTGTGTCCCTGGACGCATGTGTCGTAGCTGGGAGCACCTTTGTCTCCTTCTTTCTTTCCCTCTCCCCCTGCCCCCTCTTTCCTCGCGCGCGGCGTGTTTACAAACAAACTAGGCTTCTGACACAGCTTTCTCTAATGAGGTTTGGTTTGTCATCTGTTTGTCCCTGTTCATTTGGTTCCCCTTTCATCGGCCCCCACAGACGGTTCTTTTTTTCCTCTTTTCTTTCATGTCTTTCTGTCTTCATGTCTCTTCATCCTCATCCTTTCTTTCTCTTGCGCGCACTATCGTCCGGACCTTAGTTTGTACACATACACGCACGCGTACTTTACTTACAGCGAGGTTCAGGTGGCCCAGGTTCGTTACAATGAGGTTTGGCTCATCGGTTGTCCCTCTTCACTTGGTTCCTTTTCATCGGCAACCACCCACACCTTTGTCTGTCTTGTCCTTCTCACCTTCATCTGTCCCTTTTGCGTGCACATGTGCCTACCTCCTTTCCGGGCAGGATGGAGGTCACACATGCCTCCCTTCGGGGAGGCGTGTGTGTGTAACCCTTGGAGTCATAGGGATCCGTCAGGATTAGTTTTCATTTTACATTATGGCAGGGGGGCAATGAACACTTTGGAAGGCATTGCCCAACGAAGACCCTTCCATCGTGTTGTGATATTCCTGAGGGACGCCTCGGGAACGTACCTGCTTTTTCCTTTTCCATTTTTGAATGGCGAGAGGCTAAGCCAAGAACCTCACGACACGGTTTTGTTCAGAGCTTCGGTTCACTTTCTGCAGATGCGTTCGACTCGCTCGCCGCCTTCGACCTTACGCTTTTGGCCTCACTTCCTCTTCCAGACCCCCAGGCTCCGAGGGTCCTTACTGGTACTCTTAGGAATTGGAACCCTAGGCCGGCGTGTGGCACCGCATTCAGTTCAGTACACAATATCTCAAGTGTGTGTGTGTGTGTGTCAACCCCTGTTCCTAAGGGTTTTGGTTTCTTGCATACGGCTAAGTAACCACATGTCCACGTCTTGCAGCTAAGTATTCACAGGCCGGGCATTTACATGCATAGGCACACACACACAACCCCCCTACCCCTGGGCCTCGCCCAGAGTACGCCTTAATGAAAAAATTCAATAAAGTTATTGAAAAAG